ATTTGGAGACTCACACTAGATTTTCCTGATTTAAAATTCCAGTGCAGTTTTCAGTCCATTTAAAAAATGCCTTGTATACAAAACGAAAATCAAATTTCCTATTTGATAAATAGGTATGATCCGCCCCTGGTTCATTCCTATGTAGTTGTTATGGTCTGAAAAGAGGTTTATATCTTGATATAACTGAGGTGAGGCTTTAATGTGCACCATGAGAGCATTCAGATGTATTTTTCTTGTCAATTCCAAATGAAAAATGGAGAAAGAGAAGTAGCCTAAGTGTGTCATTTAAGTTGCATTTTTAGTGCCACTAACCCCACTTTTTTCCCATTAAATGAATCTCCTTGTTTTCATAATACTAGTAATGAGGTAAAAAAAAGATATTGTCAGATCCATTTCAGTTATTTTTTTTTAGGAGTTTTCAAAAATCCCTGACTGAAAAATAGTAAATAGGGCAGGTTGGCTCCTGATGCCATCCAGGGAATTGATTCAACATCATCCATATCATTTAGTGAGAGATCAACCTCACAAATAGTTACAGAATTAAGCGTGGAAGGTGTGTTGTTGTAGGCTCTAGCAATACAACTTCCTTAGAAGATAGTATTGACCTTCAAACCATCCTATATTTTGAGGACAACTGCCAAGAAGTGAAGAAATGCAGAAGAAAGTGGGTAGATTTTGTTTAAAAGTGTTAATGGACCTGTGTAACTCCTGCCACTTGTAAATCTTTATCCTTCAAAGTTTAGGTCTGACCAGGATATCTTTCAATGACTCTCCTTTTCGATATGATAATAGGGATAACTCCCTTAACTATTGCACTTTAGGCTGGTTAGTTGGTGCAATTTCCTCATCAGTATGTTCATGCTTTAGTTAAAGCCAAATGATATAGTGTCACAAAAAAGCAATAGTTTCTCCTGTGTGCTATTTTCTTTGTTTTTGAGTGACCTTTCTCTCCCAGTAATATAAACTTCAGTGATACATTTCTCCAGAATTTCATTTGGGTATTTGTATTCTTTTAGTGTATTTTGAAACTCTGGACACTTTTATTACTGGGACACCTGTGGTAGCTCAGTCATAAAACACCCTTTGTTAAATGAGGGGTGTGATGAATTTGTTTGTAGGAAACATACCACTCTTCCTGTTACAAATCCTTTCTTAGGGGAATGGTCATTATTTATATAGAGGGGAGGGGGGGAGGGAAAAATATGTTGGAAAGATCAAATTTCTTTAAGGCCCCCCCTTCTCCAGGCCATGTAAATAGCGAGTGACCCCCCTTTCTTTATCCAATATTTATGTGATGACCCCCCCATCACAAAATGGTGGAGTTTAAACAAAAGAAAACAATAGAATGAACAAAAAATTATACAATCTAGCATTACTGTTTCACACATATGGTTTGCACTTCTTTATTAAAAGTTAAACACCCCCTCTTGCCAATCTGAAATAGCTTTGACCCCTACTTCTTTTTTACCCCCCCTCTATATAAAATAATGACCAGTCCCTTACTCCTGATAGAAAAATTTGTGTATTTGTGGAAGGTCTCCTCTTTGTAATGTGTTTGTATGTCAAGGGTTGATTTACTGTTAATCTTTTGCCTTTATACACTTTTGTGTCCAAGAATATGTAATTTCTGAGGCAGATTTATCAGCTGTGAATTTGTTCATCTCTTGATTATTTAACAGATTTTCTGAAATGCTTGCTATTTTTAAGCATCTTTTATCCTTGTTTGGATTAGCTTCACCCTTGTTGTTTGTCTCTGATGAGGTGGATAGTGCACAGGTCGAAGATTTAACTTCTTTTGCCTGTTTGTGCTTGCAAATTTGGAAGAAGCTCGTGGAGCTTGTTCAGTTTAGCTTTTGACTCCATGGAAAATTTGTTTATCAGTCAGTTGTCAGTGAATTAAATCTATAGCCACTGATTCTACATTCTTGGAAGTTGAGCTTTGTTTTCAGCTTCTCAACCTGTCTTTGGTGAATTTTCACCAGGACTCCCACAAGGTCAGGTTCTGCTTTCTTTCTAATCGAGCTAAGGTCTGATATAAAATCTTTGTCAATGGTGATGTTCACCCCTATGTGGTCTTAGGCATTTTGGGCATGTGCCCCTCTTGAGATGATCTTGTGAGAGTCTGATAGAGTTCTTTCTCAGTAGTGACAGGGATGTCTTAACACCATTTCTTTGAGGCTTTGCTTTCAGAGAACAATCAGTTTCCTCCATCCCTGATAAGGAGCTTTGGATGCTTCTGAGTCAGAGTCACTTTCCAGGTTTGAGTCTTTGGATGACATGGCTTTCTTTAGTTACTTTATGGAAGGTCTTTATGGAAGGTCTTTGATGTTCAAAGAAAGGGCAATTTCTTGTCTTGGCAATAGGTCTTAATGTTTTTCATTACAGCCTTGTGAAGTGGTTCCCAGGATGATATAACAATCTTCCCTGACCCAGGTTCCAAGACGCATAGTGAACTTTAAAAAAATTGAGCTTGAACTGCTTGCAGAATTGTGAGGTTTTAGTTGATTGTGATAGTTCTTTAACTGAGATTATCAGTAAAAGAGGGAGATTTATTTTATTGAAAATAATTTTTGGGGGTTAGTGGCACTTAAAAGAATTCTTGATTGTGGAGTTAATTGAAAGCTTGAAACCAAATTCAATTATCAGAAGTCAGTTTATAAAACAGGTATGGAAAATAACATAACGTGGTATAAAATAGGAGTGAAATTTGACCATTGAATGCCACATCCCCAACAACATTCTTGATGGGTTCCCTAGTGATTGCTGGCAAGAACTCTACAAAATTTGCATGGAAGGTCAGTGGACTCACATTAAATGATGGCCCTGCAATTTGTATCTAATGTGATGCATAATAGAGAAGATTTTAAGATATTCAATGAGTTTGGAAAATATTACTGACAACTACAACTCAAAAATACCTTTCATGTCATCAAGTCTGGCCTTCACATCATTCCTTTTTATATCTGATAAGTATTTCTTGAATTGGCCCATCAGCATTGTTGGGTGTGATCGAAAAATATATCCTATCACATGTTGGGCTGGGTTCTGATTTTGATTTGCACAATCAGTCATTATGTGCCGTAGGTTGTCGCGTTCCACACCCAAGTTGAGTCCCAGAGTTTGCCATTGGTCAGTTGGGAGATGGTCAAGCTTGAGGAACACTTTGTTTAGGAAGACTGGAGGCTGTGTTTCCAAAAAGTTTCCAATCTCCATGTTATCTACCAATGGAAAAAATTTTTAAAAAATTCAGGATAGCTAATAAGGACAGCTACCATGAAAAAAATTTAGTTTTCCTTCCTTTTGAATCCCAATTAAAAGCCTCATTATTTTAACTAGGACCTCTTCCTTGGACTGTTCACTTTTACTAGATTCTTTTTTGCCGTTGAGTTTCACTCAAAGAGCTATATTTTTGTAGAGGAAGGCCAGTTTGTAATATAGTATAAGCAGAAAAAAGGACAGATTCTCAACACTTGGAAGAAAGCTGTCCAATCATTCACAATTATTTTTTTTGAGGAAAAAAAAAGATTCGGAAATCACAAGTAAACTAACAAATTCCTTTCAGTTATTTAAAAAGTAAAATTTCTAAATAAAAGAAGATGGCCAAATCAAAAAATAGTGTTCAGGCCACAGAAAGCAAATTTGAATCAAGAAAACTTATCTCTTAGGTTTGAGCAATTTTCCCCAAAAAATAATCACCTATGTATTGTTTGAATCACGAAGATGGTATTTATATTGGTTTGCAACATTTCTTACTGTTATGGAGGGTTATTTTTTTATTTAAATATGATTATGATTTCAGTCAATTTGTATGCATAAACATATATCACTCAATATTTGCATTCACTACACATAGTCTTCAGAATACAGTTGTTATCATAGGATTGGCTTGTTCCAATACTGTGCCTTGTAATGAAAAGAATCAGTGTGTTTGAACTATCTTACATCTTACATTTGTCTATTTTGTGAAGATATTTTTTTTTAGAAATCTGAGTTTTTGATGGTATGTATTTATCTGTTTTGTACTTACCATGAAGCTTTTCAAAGCATTTCCACACTTCCATTATTTTGAGTTCCCTTAGCAGACGTTTCACTTCTCCAATTAGGAGGGAAGGATTTTGTGATGCTACAACTTCAAACATTTCTTTAGACCTTGAATGGTGTTCTAGTGACTGGTCTGTGGAAACCTTATTAAGCTCAGCCAAGTACTTCCAGCCTTTAGCAGCCTTGATAGATGTGTCCAAATATTGGCAAAGTGTTCCTCTCAAAGAGATATGGCTTTCCAGCATTGAAACCTTTGAATCTTAAAGGTGGAAAATTAATGTCATTCAACATTCACCCTTTACACCCTAACATTAATATGCACATTCTTCATACTGTTCTCTATTCATTGGCTAAGGTATTGACAAGGAGAATTTGTTTAACAATCAAGGGCTTCTTTAGTTGGTGGCAATTTCCTTAATTCTCATGACCTTATAATGTTTGATTCAGGGATAATATAAAAAGGAGAAATTAGATTCTTGTCATGGGATTAAGTGGTTGAGTATGTCACTTTAGTCTACAAATTAGAGATATACCAAGTTCTTTCTTAGGTGTGGCCTAAAAGACACATTAACTTTATCATCATCATCATTCATCGTCTGTAATTTGGAGAAAAGGGCCTTGAAACATCAGAAAAGTTAATTGGTTTCAAATGGGTGAAGTAAAGGGGTATGAAGATGGTAGGAATCAACCCCTTCTCTAACCCCTCAATTTTTTTCACTTATCTCCCAAATTCTCATCTCTCTTTCTCCACCTGCTCCTCCCACCCCTCACTTTTCTTCCGTTTTCCCCCGCTTCCAAGTCGAGATCTGCACCTTTGGACAGTTCTTTCAGAGAAAGGCAGTTTTTGTGAGAGGTGTTCAAAATTTTTGCAGAAGTTTGTAATGAAAAGACCAGAAAGTCACAGCCACCTGCTTTCAAGTTCTATTGGTGAGTAATACCGACTTCAAATAATTTAAAGCACTTAAAGTGGGAGAATTCCTCTATATATCATATGAAATAATGTCTTCAGGGTTTGTATGTTCTATAAAACCTTGAACTTCATACAATTCTCTAATGTCACTTTCCAGGCCCACGTGTAGAATATCATGGAATTTGAGTATGGGTTATAGAAAGTCATAAATAATTATTAAAAATTACAACAATACAGGAAACTAAATTCTTATTTCTTCATGGAAAACATCCAAGAACTCCTTGTAAAAGAGAGGTAAAGCATGAAATTTTATGAGGTTGAAAAAGTGTAAACCTTACTCTAAAAGTAGTTCAGTACCGTCTTTCAGTGGAATTTTTTGCGGCAAACTTATGCTCTTGCACAACTTCCTTCCTGTCCTTGGTGTCAGCTCTAAATGTTCACTGTAAGATCTATGGCTTGTGCGGTATAATGAATTACCCAGGAGTGAAGGATAAGACATCTCCAGTGGTTCGCGTTCATTGCCAACAATTTGTTCTAGTAAGCATTAATCCAGAGTCATGAATTAACCTCTCTATTGCAAACTATCAAGATATAATAAAGTTCGGATATAACGCGCGCTGTCATTGGTTGAAAGAGCGTGCTCTATGAGAGTATAGAGCATAGAACTGAGCTAAAGCTGTAACGCCATATGTTCGACCTTTTCCGGGACTTCTTTTTAGCTTTTTTCCGATAATTTAAAGTGAAATTTCGGAACAAGCGAGCCGGCAAGTAGCAACAGAAAAACCAAAGAAAGGTTTGTAAACATATCAGGCTCCGTAATTTACATTATTAAAACGTGAGGAGATACGAAAATCCTCAAAGGAAAAACAAAATAGACATTCCGAGTTTTAAAGATATTCACGCTCAGTTAGATTGCAAGCTTACGAACGGTAATAAAAATCAAACAGCTGACACTCGTATAGTATATAAAGTTCAGAGTTCAAAAACAAAACGGAACAAAACAGAAATTATGAAAAATATAATCAAACTGACATAACTGTTAAAATTCATACTAATCATGACGGTGTCTGAGCAAATATGATCATGCTGAAGTCCATCGCGGCTCGCTTAGCATGGCGATCTCCGGTCATTACAGTAAAGCAAGCCTCAGAAACTACATCGGCCGGCCTTCGAGTGAAAAAATAAGAGCTCGCTCTGATATCCTTTCCGATACGTTGAGTAGAAAGTCACTTCAGTCACTGCAGCCGAGTTTTGCGACGCTGTCATCCCGAGCGATCTTCATGTTCCGGTGAATTCGGCTGTCGTTCATTTAAAAAACACTCGCCTTGAGCAGTTTGTTTTCTACCTTGTCATGTGAAAAAACTCGCGTGTTTTTTATGAGCCATAATTCGGCCGAAGTTCACTGAACATTTCACTTGAAGATTCTGAATTAAAAACTTCAGGCGAAAGCGTTAAAATCGACCTGCCGAACTATTTTAATTTATAAACTATCGCAGATTGTGAACTTTGATGGTTTGACACTTTTGACAGCTTTAGTCTTGTAGAGCCAATCAGATTATTTGAACCATTCTAACTGGGATTCTGATTGGCTTATTGTAGCGTGCTCTATGAGAGTATAGAGCATGCTGACGACATTGTTGTTCGCTTTGGAAATAAACTTTGTTTTGAAAATTGAAAGTAATGCATGGGGAATTTGACGGATTCTTTATTATAAAACAAATAGAGAAGCCTTGACTGTGCTCTGTTCTGTTATAAAGCACTTAGGAAGCGGCTAGAGCACTCAAAAAGTGGGGAGAAACACTCGACTACGTCTCGTGTTTCTCCCTACACTTCTTTCGTGCTCTAGCCGCTTCCTTCGTGCTTTATAACAGAACAGAGCACAGTCAAGGCTTCTCTATTTGTTAAATATCATTAAGATATAAGATACTCTGAAGTATTGCACTGTTTTCATGTGAATGAAAGAAACTTACGATAATCCTGACTAACCAGGTGACAAAACCTTATAGAGATCCATGTAAACTTGATCTAACTCGACTTTACAGCAAAAGAAAAAAAACAAAACTCTTTCCCCTCGCAAATCTCGATGTAGATTCTTACCGTTTTCTGGTAAATATAGATCTGGGTTTTTGTTCCCTATGCTTTGGTTAAATGGAAGCAAGAGACTCCCACCATTCTTGTTACGGTTATGATCGCCTTCGCAAACTGTTTTCTTCTCCTTTGGATGACTTTCCTGCGTCAATCCGGCTTGGCTTAGTGCGCCGTCATCTACAAAGGAAAGCGTTAGACGAGCGTAATTCTAACATTACAATGCCCTTTAACTTGCAGGAACAAATCATGACAATACATTATTCCAACAAGTTTACGTGCTTCCACGTAATTTACGACTGAAAAATTAAATAGCTAGATATTCGTGCACTTGTTCTTTGCAATATCCCATCATTGCCAAACTAGTACAAACAAACAGAGCATTGAATGGGAGGGATATGCGATTCATCTAAGTATACATGTAAATCTTATCCCAAAACAACCTCTAGAAATTCAGAGCCTCCGAACTGGCATGGAGGAACAATCGAGACCAGCTGAAGCATTGATAAACACAATACTTTTAAATTCACTTAAATATATCAACCACCAAGCCGAACGGTGCACTTGCACTTTTCGCTGCAACCTGCAAAAATCGAGTCATATCGACGATCATTAGATTCCCCCTGATTAAAGGTGCAAGTCTTTCTGACTTACGTGTTTTCGATTTTTCTCTCAAACGAGGCTTTTTTGAGAGTTCAAATGAAACAAATGGAACAACCAAGAAAGGCAGTTTTAAAATTTTTACAATTTTACGTTGATTATAGCATACCTTGAAAGTATCGAGGGAAAAACAATGGCAGGATCTCGTCTTTGTCGCCGAACGCTAAAAACCCAACGACGCGTCCGTCTTCTTTTATTATCACCGAGCCCATTGGTTTCTCTGTGTTTTGGAAGTCTTCCAAAGTTTTTAGTTTGGCCTTGTTGCCGTAGGGGTGAAGGAAGAATAGGCCTAACTCGTCCATAGAAAGGACGTAACTATTAAGACTTGGCTTCTTTTGCGTGGGATCTTCTACAAGGACATGGCAAAGTAGTTCGTGCATGGTGTTAGCCGAAACTTTCAACGCAGCTTTACTTTCCTCCTGATAGCACAACTGAGAACGATTAGGTTGCAATTCATTGCTTAGAAAACGTGAAAACTTCTTTTGCTTATGCAGTGTTTCGATTGGAAAGAGCATGAGACTCAACTTTTGACCGGGAAGATCCACTTCATGAAACGTACTAAGGCTAAGGCTGAACTTTTCGTTGCCGAGGTTAAACCGTTTCTGGGGTAAGAATTCCGCAGTCCAAGGTAAGTCTGAGGCTAAATCACTTTTGGAAACTACTTGACTGGTAGTAGCAACAACTGTTTGGTAGTCGCTGTGTTCGTCCGACGTGGTTGTCTTACTCAAGTCTGGCCAAATTTCCCCTTGGATTTGAGGAAATGTTACGATCCATCCACTCCCATTTGTCAGCAAAACGTTTCCGTGAGCAAGTTTTTGGATTTTGCCCATAGAGAGAATGATATTTCCACTTCCCTGCCCTCCTTCAGCCATGGTTTAAAAGGACGATGCTCTGTCTTACGGAAGTACAGTCGTGCGACAGCAGATCACTTCCTTCTAGAGGGTTGGGCTAAACTTGCCTTGGGTTATTAATGGCAAAGTTTCTACAGCAACAGAACGTCATGAGTGACGTGAATGACGTGAATGCAAATTGTGGAAAAAAGGTATTTTATGTAGATGTTACACGCAATCGCGTGGAAAGACGTAAACGATATGACAATAGAAGAAAAGGTTAAAAAAAAAACTATTAAGGAAAAAAAGCAGCTAGTGCACCAATCACATTTTAAGAAACAGTAATGGTTATGATTACTAAAGAAAATTACCATCAGTTAGCAGTTTTTAATTTATGGTCATAATCTACTTTGTATATACCCTCGATAGCTGCCTGGTGATCGCAATTTTCAAAATATTGTAACTGTTCTTCGCCGTTTTGTCAGAAACTCTATTCACCCCTCGATCATTTAAGGCAGTCATGCTAAAACGCAGACTGAAGACCTTGCAGAATGGGGAATTATTTGTAACTTACTTAAATTAACCCTTCAATCCGGTATACCCGTGACTATACATATTTTTTATTTATCATTCTCACTGAAAAACCTTATTTAGAGGAGCTACCATAAAATGTATGTTGCTATGTTATCTTAATAACAACGTTCTCTCGAAAAAATGTGGGGTGTAAGTGTATGAGCACAATGCGAATATAGTTTTGGCGGGGCGTCCTTGACAGTTTCATCTTTGCGCTCTATCTCAAGGTATTGATTAAATATCAGTCAAAAACATAATTTGTAAACCATTTTCGGGGACCCTAATAAGAAATTATATTGCCACAAGTTATTTTTTTGTTTTTCGGTTGATACAAAGAATGAAACGATCTGCCAGGACGAGACGAACGAGTCATCTTATGAAGTTTCTTTCTAAGGTCTATCAAATGGACGTAACGTACAGTTCGCTTTTTGTTCCTGACCCCTGCCCACTTTGTCTTTTAGATTCAAATAGACGCTTTGAGCAGGGTAACTGGGATACCTGGATGGTACTGGATCCTTGGAATCAAGTGTAGTGATACTACGGGTGTCGGACTAGTATACTGAAATAGTGCGCTCAAGTCTGGCCAAGGGCATACACCTATTTCATAACATAGGCATGCTATGCATGCAAGAGTTACTTTTTTGTAGGGCGGGTGGATTACTTGAAACATTGTGAGTGATGTCTACATTCTTACAAAAGGAGAGAAGAATATTAATGTGGGAAAGAACGAAAATGTCGAATTACCTCACTCACAGGTATTTTGTGGTAGATTATGTGTATAAATGTAACCAAAAATAAACTGTATTGGTGCCACGGATACCTGTTAGTACAAAATGCAGACAGCCGACTGCAGACCGGATACAAAATATAGACTGCAGACTGCAGAGTAGGTACAAAATGCAGACTAAAACTCTGAAGAGTTTTTACGTCTAGTATATAATAACATGTCATCTTACAGCTTACCGAGCGTCACGCAATCGCTTTTCTGCGATGCCTTCACGATTATTTGCACTATTGTGAGATATTCCTGGCCCATTTCTTGATGAAAATCGATCGCAATATTATTTCAAGCCTTCAATATAGTCTTCTTACTTTGCACGCGAGTTGGTTGGTGTGATGTCTGTACAGATTTTACCAACGTAATAAAAGTAGATGACGTGAATAACAGTGATGGTAGAGCAAGCTTAAAACGGCAGAAATCGCCAGAAAATACAACGGATACACAGGGTATGAGTAAGTTTTACTGATTTTACGAGAAAAATGTTCATATTTCGAAATATGTATCGTTGTAAATCGACCATACTTCGTTCCCTATACTATTCCTTATAACGTGCAGTTCCTCTCGTAACTTAACACCGAGTCACACAACGCGTGACGCGTTCATGAATTAATCGTCGACTTTCTCTCGAGACGTGAGCTTGGGCCGCCTGTGGCAAGACAATTGCGTAAACAATATTTAACATAATAACATTATACACAACTAGACCCTGTGAGCAGGGTAACTGGGATACCTGAATGGTACTGGATCCTTGGAATCAAGTGTAGTGATACTACGGGTGTCGGATTAGTACACTGAAATAGTGAGCTCAAGTCTGGCTAAGGGCATACACCTATTTCAAAACATAGGCATGCTATGCACGCAAGAGTTATTTTTTGTAGGGTGGGTGGATTACTTGTGGTCTACATTCTTACAAAAGGAAAGAAGAGTATTAACGTGGAAAAGAACGAAAATGTCGAATTACCTCACACACAGGTATTTTGTGGTAGATTATGTGTGTTGTGCGAATAAATGTAACCAAAAATAAACTGTATTGGTGCCACAGATACCTGTTAGTACAAAATGCAGTCAGCAGACCGGATACAAAATATAGACTGGAGACTGCAGAGTGGGTACAAAATGCAGACTGAGAATCTGAAGAGTTCTTACGTCTGGTAAATAATAACATGTCATCTTACAGCTTACCGAGCGTCACGCAATCCCTTTTCCTCGATCAGCCTTCACGATTATTTGCACTATTGTGGAAAATTCCTGGCCCATTTCTTGATGAAAATCGATCGTAATATAATTTCAAGCCTTCAATATACTGTTCTTACTTTGTGCGCGAGTTGGTTTGTGTGATGTCTGTACAGATTTTACCAACGTAACAAAAGTAGATGATGTGAATAACAGTGATGGGATATAGGCTGGATTGTTAAGTCTTAGATCTTTGCATATTTTATACCTGAGTAACTCGAATAGATGTTTGAAGCAAATCTATCGATTAGGTGTCTCCGCGTGGACACAAATACGGCGACCGTGAAGAAATTGCTTACTGTTAGAGAGTATTGCCAATAAATGGTCTTAAATCGCTAACTCCCCGCTCAAGGTATCGTACACTGACACACTGAGAGTAATAACTTTGCGAAGGCATAAGCGGTTTTTTAAGAAAACCCAGTTAAAAGAAAAGTCGTCTTGTCACCTTCGCTAGAGCCCCTTTTTAAAATGTTTCCAGTTTATTTCTTTTTAAAACATGTTGAGAAACTGATTTGAAAAGTGTGAATAGTTTTTTCAGAAAACAGGGGTTTCTATGAGTTTTTTTGTAGGTAAGAAGGTACTTGTTGAGTTGAAAGATAGTGGTAGACCCGGCAGAGAAGAACACTGGCACTCCTAACCTGAGAATGACGAATATGTACTTTCCTTTACAGAGTCAGTTTACCGTTATCCACTAGACAGATATTGATAATATTTAGGTTTTACCTCGATATGATTTAATAATAATTATATAATTGTACACTTATCTACATGGAAATTGAAATCAGGTATATTAAATGACTTCCATTAATTAAAATATTGGATGGTAATAGGATAAATTACCTAAATCTTGTTTTTTAAGGTTGCAAGAAATCAGCAAACAATGAAAGGTGAGGTCTTAATATGCACAAGCAAATCAGATTATTCTCATTTTTTTACAGGATATCGGTTATTTAAACTTGTTCTGTTCCTTGTTGGATTTCTGGTGGTATTTTTCTTTACCTATGTGTTGTGTCAAGAATATCTCACTGAGAAGCTGTCAGGAAAATCTTATGAATATGGACATCAGGTATATTGACAAATTTATCTTGACCAGTTTTCATACTTATCCCGCTCAAGCAGATCATTGTGCATTTATTTTACAATTTTTTATCCCAGTTATCCTCCTTGAGCCCCTGATATTCAGCCAAGCTCTCCAGTAATCTCAGTCTTTTACAGATGCAGTTGGTGATTCCATGAGTGCCTTTTCCGCTCTCTCTCTGTGCTTCAGTTCTGTTTTAGTGTGTGTTTGTGTGTTGTAGTTTTTCTTTTTTTTTTTTCCTGAGACTGCCCTTAGTGTTGAGGTGCTAGTCTATCTTAGCCAGCCACCGAGTTTCAGGTCTCAAACTTGTGTAGCTGGTGGTTTTGTTTGGGCTTTAAAGTAATGATTGGTAGAAATGCAAAAGATAGAAAGATTGATGAACAGCCACAGGCCTAGCTTTCTATAAACCAGGCTGATTTTTAAAATAAGAGTTGAGAGAACAGAATTAAAACTGTCATTGCATGTTGTTGTAGGTTTGGAATAGAAAAAATGTAGGGAGGTAAAAATGACCCAAATTGGAAACAATCAGCCAGGAGGAAAGAAACTAATATTATCTATAGGGAAAAATGAAAAGGCACAAGGATTGCCCTACATAACATTTTTCAAAATTATTGAAAGAGTTTATAATAATATTGTATTTGTAAAAGTAAAGGCATTTTGTGGATTTTGATCTATGGGAGTTGTTATTTCCTTTGTACTGGTATTTTAATTTTGAATTTCAAAGATGCTTGAGTGTTAATATACTTATAGAAGTTCACTCATTGGTAACAGTTTACTTGGGTTTACCAATTGGTGAGTTTAAAATCTGATCATCTCATTCTTGTTGCAGATATTCCTTGGTATCTCTGCTGCAGTTGGTGTTATTGCTGGATTGCTGACAGTTTGTATTTCCTATGTTGGATTATTTGCTCTTGGTATGTGATTGACCTTTTGCTTAAAACATCTTATTGCGATCTTGTTTTTGATGTTTATAAATGTGTTTAAATATATTCTGCTCTCAAATGTTCCGGTGGAACCATGGGATGGTTTGTAGGCCTGGCATTTCTCCCTCTTCTCTACAAGCATTCAGAATACCTGTCTGAACACAACTGGCTGCCTTACGTCATTCTCTGTGCATTTGCCATCGCAGGAGGAATTCTTATTCTCTGTATACAGAAGGTAACCTTTGTTCTGAGATATTAAGGTAGCTAAATATTTCCAAGTTCTCCAGGTTATGTTTTATTTTAGACAGTTAATGTAGCAGAGGTAATTAAAGTAACTGTGGGATCCCATGTAAACTTAATTTGTCAGAGCAATGGTCTGTTATATGTAAAATCACCACTGCACAAAGGTTTGAAGATCACCCTGTATTGTATGTGCCTCACTCCACCCACGAGCATACATAGATAGCAGGCAACTGACAGGGGAACCTGATGAAATGTTAAGGAAGGGGGGGTTACCCTGCAATGAAGCAGCATCCCATCTAGAGGTAGTAATAATACTCCTGGTCACTCCATGCAACAGAAACCAGGATAAGGTCGGGTCTGACAAGCCCTTTAGCTCAACTGCTGACTCCACCTTTCATGTGCTATTCTTGATGGGTATGGGTCACCCTGTTGACCAAGTTGGTCCCTGAATTTGCATTTTAAATAACATTTTTCCTTCCATAAAGAAACAGGTTAGATCCTTTTGTATTCAAGAACCATGAATGAGATATTGACCAATCAATTATGATTATTATTGTGGTTTTTAAGTTAATAATTGTCATCTCTACATCCTTCTCTGAAGCCTTTTGGTGTGTCAATGGTATTGATTACTATGTGGAAAATGGCAGAGTGCTGTACTACTCAGTCAGTGTTTTGTATGGTAAGTGAAGAGTTAACCCTTTCACTCCCAAGATCTGATTGTTAATTCTCCCCTCTAGCTGCTACATATTTCCTCATAAATTGGTTACGAGAATTTGGTGTTTGATCAAGGTAACATCTTGTACCTGATGAGTTTGAGTATTCTCACTACCCGTTTACTGAACAATGCATGGATATTATAGGGAGAACTGACATGTTCATCCCTTCTGGGAGTTCAAGGATTTATATGAGTGTAAATTATGAGAGGTTTTTTTTTTTTTTTCGTGCACCTTCTCCAAGTTCCTGGTCATATTGCATAGTACACAGCACATTAATTTCTGATTGAAGTAGAAGATGAAAAAGTGGTCCTTTCCTAGCACTGCCTACTATACAGGGGTTTGTAAGAATTAACTCTTAGGGAATAAAGCCCAAATAACAGATATTTTGAGTGGCTATTTTTACAAGGATGTCTCCATGAATTGAACTCTTTGATCGTACCATATAATAACTGATTTCCAGGTCAAGATCATTTTGAAGAAATTTCATGAAAGGCTTTTCAGAAGCTTTTTCATTGAGTTTTCTTCTATCATAACACAGTGTGGGACATGCATCTTGGGTAGAGAAGGAGAAAAAAATTGTATTTGCAGAAATGTGTAAATACAAAGAATTTCTCCTTGTGTTCATGATACTGATAATCAACTTTTCCAGTGTTCTGTTGTTTCATTTCATGCTGAGCTTGTCCTTTATTTTGTAGGTCATTACACAAAGTCTGCCTTGCCTCACTGCTGGTATACCTGGGTGGTGTTAGGTCCTATCCCAGTCATGTTCATTGCTGGCTTGGTGGTGCAATTTTGTAAGACTGCAAAGAACAGTGATCATAGAGAAGGTAAGAATGGCTGAATGATAAAACTTCTGTGGATAAACATGCTTTTAGCATTATCAGAGGAAGAGGAAGAAGAAGAAAAAGAAGTAGAGCAATGATTTATCTAATTTTCATTATCATCATTAAAAAGTGTAGTACAATTTACAGTATTGTGTTGTGAAAGGTGTCAATACCTATTTTGTATTATATTAAAAAATTAGTAATATTAGTTGGTTCAATAATTGAGGTGTAATTATTCTTATAATCACTGTGGTTCAAGATGCATGTATGTGTAATCTATTTTTTTATTGTGGATTGTGTCTTTTATAAGTGCGAATGTTGTAATTTAAGCAAGAACTTTTTGCTTTTGTGGATATCTCTTTGTTTTATGAAACAAAACATAAAATAAGGTTATGGCTAGACAGCTAGGCAATTGGCCACTTGTTCAAAAAGCTGATAATACTACCTAACAGACCAATCACTTTCCAGTGGATAAGAGTTTACAAAACATTCTTTGCTATCCACCATTTAGAGATTTATCAGGTAATGATAAGGTAATCCACCCTTTGAACAGTGGGGGCCTAATGGATAAACAAACTGCTAGCCAGTCAAAAGGATAAAACCCTGGTTATTCTCTGACTTTTTGATTTTCTATTACTGCTAGTGTTTAGACTTATTGTTTTCTTTTAACTGCAGTACAGCCTCTCACTTGAAATACTACTACAACCAATTTTATTTATGATTACCCCTTGAATCCTTAGCTGATTTTGCTATTGTATTAAAAAGTTTATGACAGGAGTTCAAGGAATCTTTACACAGCAACTCCCATGCAGGATTTCTCTGACTAGGTAAATGTTATTCTATTATATGAGCCTGTGAGTTTTTTTTGATAAGGAATTGTCTGGTGAGGGTAGTTAATCTGAACATTGTTGCCAATGACAGGAGCTGACGTCCATTGAGGATGTACATGTAGTTGTTCAACAACAACAGAAATTTGCGCTATCAGCAAAATTTCGATAAAGGAAACTGGCCGTTTTTTCAAACTGATACTGAAGGCCCCGGAGACAAGTGTTGACCTTATAACAACAGCAGATTTTATGGTAAGTTGAAACACCTTGAGAACATGGAGAAAGTCCTTCCATGTGTTGCTACTCATAGCCCTGACCTGAGAAAGGCAAAAAAATTAGTTTGGGAAAAATTGTTTTCAGTAGGCAAGATTATGTAACGAGCCTTGACTTACCTACTTAAAGAAAGTGGGTTCTTTTTAGGATTTCTGTTATTCCCGTCTGCGAGAAATATGTGAGACGAAACACGTATTGACGGAGCAGCGTTACAGTCAGTCTGTCAAAACTTACCTCTTCCTTTTCTCTTTATCTCATCGTTGAATGAGATAGACCTCCACTCAGTTTAGTGTGAGCTCACTAAGCAGCCAATCAACGTGTTCCTTCTGTCTATTTGAAATTTTTTCATGAGCGCGTGTTGGAGGTGAGGTGGTAAATTGGCTGTTATCAATCTCGTATCCAACAAGTGTGAATGGAATAACTTTTTTTATTAAATTCTCTTAAATCTTGAACGTTTGGATGTTTGAAGCTTTTTTCAGCACCGCAACAGTTGGCGCAAAGCATTTCAATATGAGGTGACTCGGTGTATGAGCTGATAACCGGATTTGATTGCACCGATCAGAACACCAGAAATGCAATATTCGGAGTTGAAAATTAAATAAACTCATAGAAAAAACTACGGTGCACGTCCGTAGTTAATCAATTTTTCACGGCTTGTGATCTTTGCTAGTCGAGGTTTACTTCCAGTCATGGTCTTCCAACTGACGTACAAAAAGCTGCTACACATATCCATAGTTCTACTAACTATGACATATCGCACGGAGGGCGGTTGACTTAGATTTAGTGCCGGGGTAAGTCAGCATTATAACTGACTCAACGTTCGGTTATGATACAGATTGATGTAGGCAGGGAAGTATATGATTTATTTGTGCCGAATTATTCACTACGCGGTGTAGATTTCCGAAACAAGTCTTTGCGAGTGACAGAAGAGAATATCGTAATGGGAAATGAAATTTCGAGATTATTCGTAGGGCTTAAAGGTAAATAATAACCGAGGTCGAAATTGAATTCAATTATCTTCTTTTCCTCTGATTTAAGAAGCTATATACTGTCTGCACGGTAATAAACCAAGTTTTATCTGTTAATTCTCTCCTATTTTGAACAAACCCTACAGCGGTTATGACATGTTCACGATAAAACGCTTTTCGATTGGGTGCCACAAACCAAATTGACACTAAGGGCCAATAAGAGAGAAAGACAGTATAACAAGGAACCAATCAGAACTCAAAGTAAATACACGTAACCAGTGGCAGAAGCGCGGGAAAACGCCGTTAATGGCCAAGTCTTCCAGGTTCCGCGCATGGTTGGTCAAGAAAGTAGTGCGAGTTCGTAGAACCATTCAAAAAGACAATTGATTTACAATTCTTCTAACATGCAATGTCGATTGTAGGAGGCGAATCTTTTGAAATCAACACAGCTTCTCCGGCATCCTCCAACACGACATATTGGTATTGGCATGGTTAGTGCGATTACCTGACATGATTACGTTTGTGTTTCCTTTGTAGAAATCGGTGACATCGCCGACTTAGCAAACGTTATTATTCGTCAATCGTACAGACTTGTCTATCTTTGTGCAGCAGAACGTTTTCCGACTAACTCAAGTTCCAGGTTACAACTCTCGTGGACAAACTTTCGAACATTTGATTTTTGTCACCTCTTTTCCTTGTTTTTGATGTTTAGATGTTATTTATTTAAGCAATGATTCTTTGGATGGTTAACGAAACGCACATTTGTACTAAAAATTTAGTGCATTCTTTCGTTCAAAAAGATTAATAAAACTGAAAAATTTTACTTGTTAGGAATGACTCGGTATTGAACGTAGCAGTTACTTTGGGTTACTTAAAGAAGCCACAGGCAAGGCTTGTTAAGATCTGAGCGATATTTCGGAAAAGGAAGTACTTAAATACCAAGGAAAACGGTGATAATTTTTCGCTTATTCCCGTCGACCTGATATTAATAATTGATATAGAATCAGTTCTAGTGAAGGGGGGTAAGTTTTTAAAGATATTATGGTGCTGCGTTGGTGAAAAAGTATAACAAGGTAATTTAGTATTATCAACTGAGTTTATAACGTAAATTGGCTTACGTAAAGAGGTTCAAAGCTGACGTTTCGAGCGTTAGCCCTTTGTCTTCGCCTTCCCTCCTACGAAGGGCTGACGCTCGAAACGTCAGCTTTGAACCTCTTTACGGTGGCCAATCTACCCTATAAACTCAGTTGATAATACTAACTTACCTGACTTTAGAGTTAGTTTTGTATGTATGTTTATGAGTACTGAGTTTCGGCTAGACTACGACAATTTTTGAACCTCAAGAATCGAATAGGGTCAACGCCAAATAATTTTTCTTCGTTTAGTTAATGTTACTTCGAATCTGTAAATATTTCAATTTTTTATTAATGCTAAGGATGTCTTGGATGATCCGCTTTGAAATTGAGAACCTGTTTTGCATTGAACAGTTAGGATATAAGTCAGTAATCGACCAGCGCAGTTTTGTGTTGTGGAGGGTTTTTTTTTTAAGACAATAAATATTAAAAATCCATCGAAACTTCGTTTAAATTAGTGCAGCACATTAGGAGGGTGGGACACGAATACACCCGTAACTTTTGGTGATACATTCGTAAATTTTAGTATCAGACTCAAAGGGATAACTTTCGAGGAGATGACACCGCCTACAGAGGAGGCTGGGAACCTGGGCAATCAGAGAATATGGCCATTGGAAGAAGGAAACAAGGGGGCATGAACTAACGAGCACTAGATAAGGCGAAAAAAAAAGTTTTGAAGTGGATGAGGCAACATTCCGTAAGATCGTAAGGGTGATGGAAAAACAAGAGATCTTGAGAGTGAGATAAGTTGGTGCGATAGTTGGATGTGAAAAATAAAACAAATTTCTTCCTTTCCTTGTATTTTGAACGCATTTGAATTCATCTGGTAAATAAATATACTGAAGCCTCTATTTGGCACGCAAGTTTACTCGGGTATTTGTCCTCGGACGTGGACGTCACACACGAGAAGCGAACATCGAGCCTCGTGGCTCAGATTATGTCAATTGAAAATACAACTGTCTGCCCATACCTTCGCGCCAATGGAGGCTTTCGTGTCAATTATCCATCAAACATTTTGGGCAGCACACAGGACGAACTAGCTTTTAGTCAAAAACATTTACTCTGAGGAATGTTGACGACACTAACGACCGAAAACTTGTTACAACGGCAAAACACTTCCATCCTCTCCTCCTTGAAGTTAGTTTCAAATGTAAGCTTTCATTTTATCCAAGTTCAAAAATAGTGAGCGTCACTAAGGGAATAAAATTTATCTCTCTTGATCGATGATTGTCAAGTGGGAAATATAATTAGCTCTGAATGTGGTATTGTTGACAAAGGTCGGTAAGCTTTCAGGAGTTCTTTCAGGAGTATCTTTCCTTTTTGGCCACAATAAAGATGGGCAATTCAGGACAGATATTTAATGCAGAGACAATCCGTTTCGAGACCAAAGAAGTGATCTCGCTATTGGTGGACAAACTGAAGAGAGAGCCCAAAATGAGTTACTTTGTATCTCATGATTAGGACACAAGTAGGATGATGTAGCATTTATTCATCAATTCATCTTTCAGTACAAACTGTGACAATAGCCATCGATTTCTTTACGATGGAATAATAATAAAATTTCGTGTCACATTTTCCTTCTGAATTGTCACCCTCGTCCAACAAATAACCGTATCACGATACATATATTTTGTTGAAATCTCGTGATATTTAATCAAGTACGATGCCATTTAAGATTTGAGATTGAATTCATGCACACTCTCGCAGTGCAGTAAGTATATGGGCGTTCAATGTACTGGTTTTATAATCGCTTATTTGTTTTAGTTTTTTCCTTCCTATGCTTAAGAAATGATTCTTTTGAAATACATGTAAAATCACAATCAGATTTAAGGGGAAAATATTCTATTCTTTGAATATCACTGGCCACCTCTAAAATAAGGCGGGTTTCATTCAAGATAGACAACTGACAATAATTATGCTTCACATTAATAAAATACCCAAAGCACCATGTCTAGAAAGTGCACGGTGGAAAACTTAAGCCGACGACACATCTGGCAATTTTATACGCTCGTTCTTGTCGGTTTCATCGAGCGCTAAGTCGATCCAAAACCTAACAACTACACAGGCTATGAATAGCAATTTCCTTCCAATCCATATATTCCTGTCCTGGCTATCTAGACAGAACCTCAAAAGAGTCATTAGTTTTTTAAAACGTCTCTAGGAGCCTGAACGGTCCTCAGGATACCTGCATGGCTGGCTAAGACACGTTACTCAATCCGTAGTTTTCTCTTCATTGCTCGTATATCCTCCTCTGTAGTAAAGAAAACATATAAATTAATAAAAATTGAACAAGCAGGAGAGTAATAAGTAGTCATTCTTATGCCTAGTCTCTCACAGACTCAAGTCTTATTGACGCATATGTGGTCTATAAACGTGTTACCAAAGCCATAAGATCATTATCCATGCAGACCGAACAATGATCTCAAAAAGAGGAAAAGAAAGGCATACTGTTTATCGCTTGAGTAAACTATCTTCTTACCCACAAAATAGGAGGAAATGCCCTGAATGGCGTCTACGCGGTCCATGTCGCGCAAATTCGCCAGGAGCTGCTCCATGGTAAAAGTTGGTCTTTGACTTACGATCTCCTCCAGCACTAATGCAGTGGGGCTTTCTGGACAGGGTGGCTGAAGGCTCTGGTACAAATCGCTGGATACCTGACATTCACTAGCTAGATACTTGTAGTTCTTAATGGGTGAATCATCAGGCCCATTCAGCATGCTTGTTATCACTCGCATCAAATCCAAATCATCGAACAAATCCTTAATCGTCAATGTATCTAACGAAAAAGAGTATTATAGCGTTATTGTAAACAGACTTTTAAAAATACTTTCTGATCAAAATGTCACATGTCCGAGGCATTCCTGAACCAATACTCGTGTCTAGTATTTTAACAATTATATTATGAGCTCGAAATGTCTATCATACACGCAAAGAAATCGAGAGAAAATAATCCAAACTCTTTAAGTATAAATTTGCTAGTCATTCACAATTTGATGAGAGGACAGGCTCTCTTTTTATTTTAATTTGTTATAGCTGCACACTGTTAGGGTCTGTTGGGTTACTCACTCTACTCACTATCTATGACGGATTAATATACAATAAGCTGAATACTACACGTACTTTGATTGGTCCTCTTATGATCTATTGGAGGACGAACGCATAATGAACGTCACGATTAACAACATTTTGCCTTTTTATCATATGACACAAATATATGCTATGTTGATACAGAAAGAAGTGTTGTTCATCGTGGTTTAAAAAAAATAATAAACGTTCAATTGTTTGTTTTACGATGTAAGAGTCAAGCTGACCAGTCGTGTCTTAACAGCTTTGTTGCCTTGGGTTTGTATGATAATAGATCACAAAAGACGTCAAAATGTGGTGAGAATATCAGTGACACTTTTTTGTTCTTACCACATTTTAACGTCATTTGTGATCCATACGTGAGCAGACGCATGGAAACATAGAATCTGTTCTGTCATTAGTTGGCGAGTAACGCGGCCATTTGCGAACTGCAGCATTCTCATAACTTGCAAAGCAATCTCACTAGAAATTGTCAGCGGATAGGTCCATTGCGAACGTGCATGTTCGTGCTGTCGTCCTTGGAGAGCAAATGGCGTCGTGCAATATTTCGCTTGGTTGTTTTTTTTCTTTAAGGAACCGAAGAAACTTTTCGTCTTGTAAGGTACTTTACGCCGGGATTAGTATTTGAAAATCTTTTCACTGTCTACACGGCTGATTTCTGGTAGTGAGATTCAGGTTGTTATCGTAAAAAAATCCTTTGCAAAATATTTACCCTCACATAGCTAATAGTCCATTTTACAGTTGCGTGCTTCGTTGCCAAGCCTTTGAACAGGAGTGGGGCTAAGAGTTACCTTGTTATGATACAAACCTTGCTGCTTTTCAAATGTAAATGACTTTGTTATCATGCTTATTAGATACTGGTCTCTATCACAACAAAGTCACCTTCAGCCTCACTTCAAATCAAAGGCTTGGCAACTTAGTACACAACTATGAAATGGCCTATTGGTCCGTGGAGAATTTTATTTGACCTTTTTTATGCAGAAATATACTACTACGCTTCTAGTTATGACAATGAAATGCTTTGTTTAGGGATGAAGCTATAGTTGAAAGGGAGGAATTACACAATACAGGTCCACTTTTGAAGGAGCATATGTCTAGTGGCTCGTTTGGCTAGGCAGTGGATAAAAGAATGAGGAATTATGATTATATGTGTAAAGTGAGTGGCTAGTTTAACTTCGCAGTTGATGAAAGAACAAAGACACATGGATTTCAGAGGAAAGGTGTGAAGATAAACAAGAGAAATATCATGGTTTGGTCAGAATTAGAGGAATGGAGAGCACATCCTTGCAAAAATATCTCCAAGGATAGCTCTCAGAGATTGCCTTCCCACAGTTTACAAAATTTATATGGGGAGGGAGGGAGGGTGATGTTTAGATTTGATGACACTCTCACACATGATGTCTGACTTGAAGCATGATAGAAAAGATTTATTAATATTCAAAGGGTTGAAGGGATGAAGCTATGGTAGAAATGGAGGAACTACCATAGCTTCCATTGGTCAGAATTAGAGGAATGGGGAGCACATTCTTGCAAAAATATCTCAGAGGATAGCTCTCAGGGATTGCCTTCCCACAGTTTACAAAATGTGTGTGGGGAGGGAGGGTGACACCCTCACACATGATGTCTGACTTGAGGCATGATAGAAAAGATTTATTAATATTCAAAGGGTTTGAATGATATTACAAATATTACCACTCATTACAAAAATACCTTTCATGCTGTCCAGTTTATCCTTCACATCATTTCTTTGAATATTTGTCAAATGTTTCTTGAATCTACCCATGGTCATTGTTGGCTCTCTGCGATAAATGTACTCTATTAGCTCATGGGCTGGATTTTCGTTCTGATTTGCACAATCAATCTTTATTTGCTGTAGGTCGTCATGCTCCATACCCAGCTTGAGTCCCAAACTTTGCCATTTGCTGTCTGGAAGATGGTCAAGCTTGAGGAAAACTTCACTTAGGATGATTGGATCCTGACTTTGTAAAAAGTCTTTAATCTTGATTTTATCTACCAATGAAAATATTTTTGCATCTCAATTGTCAGTGTTATTACCATGCAAAAAACCTTGGTTTTTTGTTGTTGTTTTTGTAAATGAAGGGCACCCTGTTAGGTGGGGAAAATATGGTGCAGAGCTGATGGCAAATTCTTGAATGAGAACAGGAAAGGAAAAGAAAGTCAATAAATTGATGGTGGCTCAGCTGTTTTGCCTTTTTTTACTTCCTTCAAACTTCACCATTAAGATTTTGCTATTGCACTAAAAAGTTAACTTTGAGCCTTTTTATTATGAGAAACTGAAAGGAAGGTTATCATTGATTAAATGTTTTGAAGGGCTTTTGCCAATGATTGTCTTCAAATATTTATATAATGCAGTTACTTGGGAAATTAAAAGCTGCCTTTTCTTTGTCAGGCTACTTTTGATCTGAAATTTGTGATTCTTTAGTGAATAGTGGCAAAATCAAATTTTTGAAGTTAAGCTATGACACATATTTTTAACATACCATCATGTCTTTTTAAGTAATTCCTCACTTCAATCATTTTCAGATTGCTTAGGAGGGCTTTCACATCACCAATCAAGAGGTTTGGATTGCGTGACACTACCACCTCAAATAGTGCTTCAGACTTAGAGAGGCGCTCCTGTGACTGGTCAGTGGAAACTTCATTAAGCTCAGCCAAGTGCCTCCAGTTTTGAACACGCTTAAAAGATGTATCCAAGGAATAGGAGAGTTTGTCTTTTATGAAGACGCGACCCTCTAATATGGTTTTTCCAACCAATGTTTCTGAGACAAGAAAGTTAATATCATAAGGTAATTGGTAAGTCTAGGTTTAAGGATAAGTAAAGTTTGTTTATTATATTTTTGTTAGAGGCCACCTCTTTTCATCTTGAAGACACTTGTAAACATTCTTTTCTCTTATATCATCATTTACTTCCATTTCCTGTGTTTATGAGGAGACAATTAACACTTCTATGGTGGGTAGGTGGGGTAGCAGGTGAAGGTAATGGGTAAGGAGTTCAGCTTGACATTTTATGTATCAGCCTCAGTGTACTTTGAATTGTTAATTTCTCATTTTCACAACACTTCTGTTCTGTGTTCTCACCATGAGGAATTTTAATAACTTAAAAGTAGCAATGGAAGATACACTGCATTTTCTTTGTTTGGTTTATGTACATTGAGAAAAATGGTCTCATTGCCATCCTTCAGTTAATTCTACTTTACATCCACCCTTCACTCTTTGCTTCTCACCATACAACACATCAAAGGCATGCACATATGAGTAGTGCTTCCAAAGCAAGGCCTCATCTACCACAGTTTATCAAAATTCTTATAGTTGGTAGCAATCAGCAAGCCAAACAAGTTGTAGGTGCCTGTTTTCAACCTCTATGAGTGGCTTAGGCCCATTTCAAGATAACCTGCAGAGCAGGCGTAATTTTGGCAAGCGAGTGCTCAGTATTTTCTGAACGAAAATTATGACCATCATCTTTGATTTTAATGGCAGCGGAGGGGTGGGGCTGGGGGATTGAAGATTGCCCTGTCCTTGCCCCATACTCCCACCGTCCACTCTAATTCCAAATCAAACATAGCCGGTCGGATAAACGATCGCGAGCTTGTAGCGTTTGCTTGCCCTAATAAGACGCCTGCACTGTAAGCTAATTTCAAAACATTTGAGATGTGGAAGAGTTTCCACCTAAGAGATTGAAATACTTTTAACTGTGTTGGTGTGGGTCATGAAAAACTGTAAAAGTCTTTTAATTCTGCTATGTCATTTTTCAGGACTGGAAATCTAAGTCAGTTGAGTTTGGAAAATCACGGAAAATGGCTGAAACGATTTTAATGACAACTAAAAGCAGGAAATACCACGATCGCTCTTTTGTGTTTACATTCCTTTGAAAAGAAGTCATAACTGGTCTTGGAAAACATCAGAGAAGTTTCCTAGAAAGAAATTTAATTTTTACTCATAAACAGTAGGGTATGGGCCCTGGTCTTAGGGATGTTAAGTACCTTCGTTGAGAGGAATCGGCTCCAACACACTTTGGCAGTTAAAGAGCCTCCTTTGTGCCCTGGGTGTCAACTGCTCACTTAAAGACTTCTTGAGTAAATCTCTGTTGTGTGATGTGTAAGACATATCCCGTGGTTCATTTTGACTTCCAACAATCTGTTCTAAGTGCATCGGAAATGGTAAGAATTAGTGCATTATATGGAAGCCATGTACATCAATCATAGACTTAAAAGCGAGTTAGCTTAAAAGAAAATAGGAGACAGTATTTAAAGGTTTGAGAAAAATTGTAAGTATTAAGTATGATAACAAGTAAGCCTTAAATTAGAATTAGAATAAAGATCGTTGAAAAGTCACTGAAATTTGGCTTATTTTGGATAGAACTGAGAGAGTAAAAAAAAAGAAGAAATTTGAATAATTTTTGGAGAACAGAGGTGACAAAGCCCAACAGAGACTCCTGTTGATGAAAGTGGTTAATCCAAGTATCACCAAGTTAAAAGAAGAACAAAAACTGGAAGTTATTGTCTTGATTCATTCATAAAAACCCTAGATACTAACTGATACAGAATTTAGTATTAAAGCCTGGCAAAAGTGCTCTCAGGTCTGCGTCACCTCTTTTCGCTAAAATTCTTAAGTACGTTCTTACTATCTATTATGGTGACTTGTAACATGTGATTCTCGTCGGTTTTGTTTTGGTTATGGTCCTCAGGGTTATGGGTAGCCTCAGTCGATAAGGCCTGTCTTGGAACGTCGTTATCTGCAAATTAAAACGTCCATTGCAAAAACAACTTTACATTGCACAAAACATTAGCGAAACTTAACCTCTGTCATGCCAGAGTTTGTTACCTCGTCTTGTTCTCTGTTGGATTACGTTTTAAACTTTTAAACTGATCTGCACTGTTCATGAAAGGTGAAAGTGCTAGAAGTGAAACTCCGTAACAAGAGCAAATCAATTGCTGATGATACAAATTACTTTTGCAATTAAAAATTTAGTTAGGGAACTATTGAAGATATGACCCCCACAGTTGAACTGCAATTAAGGCGGCATATACAGAAAAGGATCCTGAGAAAACAAATTTAGGCTTCGTCAGGATTTGAACCCGTGCCTCCCAGATATTTAATTGAGCGCTACAACCATTTAAGGTATGAAGCCATTGTTGGTCACTTTTTTCCAGGTTTGTTTTCTGTAATTTATTTATTTCAGCTCCTTTGCGAGGATTATGTCCTCAACAATATAATTCGTATCATTCACTCAGTTTCCGATTGTACGACTGGGGGTATTATTCCATCTCTTTTTTTTAATTTTCATCATCTTGTTGTTATATATCAAACAAACTGTCTATTGTGAATATGAAAGCGATCTTCGTAGTAATGAACACTACTTGAGCAGTAGTGAAAAAAATTCAGGCCTGTGCGGGATTTGAACCCATGACCTCTACGATACCGGTGCTGTAAAAACTGTCTATTGTTGTGCAGTAGAAGACTATGTGATTGATCAAAATATAATATTTTTAATTTTGACACCCAAAATGATACGGATGAATTACCTGGACAAGCTGTAGCATTTCAAAGTATATTACTGTTTAAGTGACGTGTTTCGCTGTTACTGTTTTCAATAAGCGAAAGTTTTCCAATCGAATCCACTTACTAGTATATCGATCGTGTAACGCGACGGTGCGGTTGTACTTTTAACATGTATACGGCATATTTTTTAAGAGTATCAGATGTTTGTCTAGAAATGTCAAGCGATTCTAATAAAATATTTGGTTTTTTTTTAGTTGACAATTGTTCAGAGCTTACGTATACTGAAAAATCGCTCGGTTGTCGACACGCGACATTTACCAAATTCTCGTAGATAACTTCTCATCAACGTGTTGAGTACATTCGATGTTTGTTTCGGAATGCCAAGCGAATTTGAAAAAAATTTCATGTTTAACGTGATGGATTTTTTAATGGACAAATTTTCTTACTGATGCTCGGAAACGGCACCTAGAATTTCTAAGTGTGGAAAACCAGCTATTTTACGGTATGCACAGTCTCGGAAAATTCTTCCACTCAAAACGACAAAATAAATCTTAACTTGGCATTTCAGAACAAATTTTGCATATTTCCGACAGGTTCAATTTTCTGACTGCCAGGCATTTAGTCTACTGGAGACCGAGCCCGGCAGTCTTAATCAGAACCGTATAATTTTTGACTGTATATGCACAAGCTCGGCAAATCCGTCCACTAAAAACCAAAATAATTTTTGGAATCGCGCCACATTTTTAAACAATGACTTTTACTCTTAAGAAGTTTGAAAGAACCTTTCAATGAAAATTCTCTGAACATTTGCAAGGACGGAAACCTGTATTTATTGAAATAATTTGGTTTTCTAAGCTAAAAAGTTATTTATTTGTCTTCGTTCATTCTATCCAAGAAAAGTTTTCTTCTAAACCTCGTTGATCATATTAATTGAAAGAATATTCTAGAAAAGGAAGTCATCAAATTGTGGTTCAATAATAACATACCTTGGAGATAATCAGGTAAAAACAATGGATGGATCTCATCAGTATCACTAAACGCAAGAAATCCAACGACGTATCCGTCTTCGTTTAGGATGACTGAGCCTTTCGGTCTCTCTGTTGGCTGGAAGTCGTCTAACTTTTTTAGTTTAGCTTTGTTGCCGTGGGGGTGTAGATAGTACGAGCCACGTTCGTCTGCAGAGAGGACGTAACATGCGACGTGAAACTTCCCTGTCGTGTCATCTGCCACCAAGACATAGCAAATGAACTCGATCTTGGTGTCTTTTACCTTCGTTTTTCTTTGTGCCTGATAGCATGATTGGGATCGATTTGATGCCCAATCATTTCCGGATATGAATTGTGGAAACCACGTTTCCTTGTACAATGATTCTGTCGGGAATAACGTGAGACTTGACGCTCCATTGGAAAGATGCATTTCCATGAACTCAACACCGACAAGGCTGAATTTTTCAGTGTTGCGTTTATACCACTTGTCGGGTAGGAATTCCACCCTCCAAGGTGTGCTGGAGGTTAAATCCGCTTTAGAAACTACTTCACTGGTTGTAGCTACCACTGTTTTGTAGTTTTTTTGTTCGACCGACGCGGCGTTCTGACTAGGGTCTGGCGGACTTTCCTTTTGCGACGAAGGGTATTTTATGATCGATGCACCCCCAATGGTCACGAAACAGTTTCCTTGAACTCTTTTTCGGACTATGCCCATAGAAAGTAAAATATCTACACTCCCCGAGCCTCCTTCAGCCATATTTCAAGCGGACAGCGATCTAGCGGTTGCGGAAGTGTAAAGGAACAATCAATGAATCAATTGCATTTGACTGCATTGTGCTTGTGACTGACGAAGACATCATAGAGACGAGGCGGATGTGATGAAATTATCAACGATTAAAGTATTCACGGCAACGTGACGTCAGGTAAAGTGGCGTAAATGGGGAGATCAAGAAATTGCAGAAAACGAAGTCTCTTATGTGGATGTTTCATGCGGTCAGTGTAGAAAAACGTAAGGAACAAGGAACATAAATTACGTATCGATTAGGAAAGCCATTTTTTTCTTAAGTTATTCTTTCTGATGTCGTTGTTGTCTTAAAGAACCTCATTTGCTGCTCATTGCGAGTGAAAGTCATTCCTTGTCCACCCACGTTGTCGTGACCGAGACGGATGACTCAAGAAACCGCCAACCGCCTGAGAGATAGGGTTTTAAGTAACCATTGTAAAAAAACTTGATAGGTCGAAATTCTTGAGAATATGGAACAATTTGATTTATAATTTGGAAAATCACGCAATTTCAAACGACATCGACACGAAACGCCCCTGTCGTTGCTTTCAAGGTCATAAGTTGTATCCTCGAGCAACGGGCTTCGTGCACACTCTTAATTGTATGTTTTTTTCTCTTAAATGAATCATTTTTAACTTCTCCAATTTAAAGGCTATAATTACTCGGGCTTCCGTAGGAAAGCCCGAGGATATTTAACAACACGCGTGAAAAAATATTGTAGTTTCGCGTGTGTTGATATAGCCAATCAGCTGCTGACACGTCACTCGCCTTTGGCGCCACTCGGTTAGGTTGCTGAATGAACAGCAAAGCCTTCACGATTCTAAACACAACACTTTTCACCACTACCGGCGTGGTGTTCATTACTGCGAAGATCGCTTTCATATTCACGTCTTTAACCGCAGTTCAAATATATGACTTCCATATATTCACAACCGTTTATTCACCACTTCACGGGTTTATTTGGAACCAACACAATATAAAGTTCTCGGTTGGCTTGTTAGCTCAGTTAGTAGAGCACAATACCGATATCGCAGAGGTCATGGGTTCAAATCCCGTACAGGCCTGAATTTTTTTTTTTTTCAGGCCTTCTTTTCACTACTACCTAAGTAGTGTTCATTACTGCGAAGATCGCTTTCATATTCACGACAAGGTAGTTTGTCTGAACTTTCTCGGATTCTGGCGGGTAAAACACCAAAATATCCGGCCGAGTTGAACACGAGAAGAGAAATTCCATAACTACAAGCAACCACGTATTATTTTGTTTATCATATAAACACAATTGCCCTTTACTGAGAAGAAAAGCCCTCTTCATATGGATATGGATTTTTTAGCGTTTTAGACACCATAATTCGAGAAAGCTCCGACAAACAACTTATATTTAGAATCGCGAAGATCGCGAAGGCTTTGCCGTTCATTCACCAACCTGACCGAGCGACGCCAAAGGCGAGTGACGTATAAGCAGCTGATTGGCTATATCAACACACGTTAAAAATACGATATTTTTCACGTGTGTTGTTACGGCTTTTCCTCTGAGCCGGAAATCCCTGTATAACACCGCAGTTTATGCGATTTTTACGCGTGAAGTGATGAATAGACGGCTAAGAATATATAAAAGTCACGGATTTATTTGGAACCAACATAATGACCAGCTCCCAGTTGGTTTGTTAGCTCATTTGGTAGAGCGCTATACACCGGTAGCGCAGAGGTCGTGTTCAAATTCCGTACAGGCCTGAATTTTTTTTCAGGCCTTATTTTCACTACTACTCAAGTAGTGTACATTACTGCGAAGATCACTCTCATTCACGTCTTTATCCGCAATTTAAATATATGACTTTCAGATATTCTTAGCCAATCACCCTATGCTTGCTAATGCGTTCGCATCCAACGGTCAACACCCATGAAGGATTGTGGGGAATACACCTAACTTGCGACCTAATTTGCGAGCCCTGTATCATCAGAGGCTTAAAAATGGCTTCTAATTTCCTTCCAAGCGTGGAACCAGACACAGGCAATTGCAAGCTGCATAACGTGTATGACATACAGAGCTGTGTTCTGGCTGGAATCAGCGTTTTGTTGGGAACAGCTGTCTGTTTTTACGGTGAGAAACTTACTGTTTATAGATGAGGAGACTTGGAATCTTCTTTTTTTCGTATTTAGTGTAATTTCGACCGAAAACTGAACTCAGCTATCGTTTATATATAACAACTACCTGTACGATACCCTCAGATAACTTATTATGTGCTTAATTACGCCATGGAAAATTAATTGGAAACCACATGGCTATAAAATAAAAACTCAGTTATGCTACAGAAATTTGAGTCTTACAATCTTTTTTACGGTTTCGTGCCTTAGTAACTCGAATAATTGTTTCAATTTTATCGCTTTGGTGTCTCTGCGCGCACACAAATATGGCGGCCATAAACAAATTGCTGACCGTTAGTGGGGGCTCAAAGGATCTTACGTGCTGAGAGTAAAACTTTGGTAAAGGTGTGGGCGGTTAGTAAAGGAAACCTGGTGAGAAGGAAATGGTCTCTTCATCTTCGCAACGGACTTTCTTCTTACCCAAATTCCTCCCCTCTCCTCCCCCCACACACACACATAGGTCCTCACAGCAAGACGAAAAAACCAACAGAGTTACATATTCGCAAGGTTGAGAGAATGCTTATGCAACAGTCTTAAGTAAGCATATGTACCAGTTCCATGTAAACTTGCAATACTTTTTGACATGGCCCTCTTTCTATGGAAAGTGTCGAGTTGCTTTATCCATTCAGTGGTTTTATTCAGAGATAATTTTAAAGAGCACTTTGTAGATACAGTATCAATTTTTTGTTATCCAGCAAAAAGATACTGATAATATATGGATATTGCTCTGGTACTATATGATTAAAAATTGTAAACTAATTTACAAGGAAATATAGCTCAAGTAACTGTATATTGAATGATTTCTATTAATTCAAATCTTGGAAGGTAATAGGTAAGTATTACTCAAATCTTGCTTTAAGCTTGTAACAAGTCAGCAAACTATAATAGAGGGGGTTCTTTTAATATGCACAAGCAAATCCAATTATTCACATTTTTCATAGGATATCGTTTATTCAAACTTGTTCTGTTCCTTGTTGGATTTCTGGTGGTATTTTGCTTCACTTATGTGTTGTGTCAAGAATATCTCACTGAGAAGCTGTCTGGAAGATCTTTTGAGTATAGACATCAGGTATGTTGATAAATTTATCATGACTAGTCTTTTCATACTAATCCCACTCAAGCAGATCATTATGCAGTGATTTTTTAATTTGTTATCCCAGTTATCCTCTTTGAGACCCTGATATTCAGCCAAACTCTTCAGTTATCTCAGTCTTTTAAAGATGCTGTTGGTCATTCCATGAATGCATTTCCTGCTCTCTTTCTGTGCTTCAGTTCTGTTTTAGTGTGTGTTTTTGTGTTGTAGTTTTTTTATTTTTTTTCCTGAGAGTTCTTAGTGTTGAGAAGCTAGTGTATCTTAGCCAGCCACTGTGTTTCAGGTCTCAAACTTGTGTAGCTGTTGGTTTTGTTTGGGCTTTATAGTAATGATTGGGAGAAGTGTAAAAGATAGAAAGATTGATGAACAGCCACAAGCCTAGCTTTCTATAAACCAGGCTGATTATTAGAATAAGGGTTTAGAGGATAGAATTAAAACTGTCTTTGTATGTTGTTGAAGGTTTGGGATGAAAAAATGTAGGGAGGTAAAAAGGACCTAAATTGGAAAAAATCAGCCAAGAGGAAAGAAACTGATATTATCAGTAGGAAAAATGAAAAGGCACAAGGATTGTCCTACATAACATTTTTCAAAATTATTGAAAGAGTTTATAATAATATTGTATTTGAAAAAGTAAAGGCATTTTGCAGATTTTGATCTATGGGAATTGTTATTTCCTTTGTACTGGTATTTTAATTTTGAATTTCAAAGATGCTTGAGTGTTAATATACTTATAGAAGCTCACTCATTGGTAACAGTTTACTTGGGTTTACCAATTGGTAAGTTTAAAATCTGATCATCTCATTCTTGTTGCAGATATTCCTTGGTATCTCTGCTGCAGTTGGTCTTATTGCTGGATTGCTGACAGTTTGTATTTTCTATGTTGGATTATTTGCTCTTGGTACGTGATTGACCTTTTGTTTAAAACATCTTATTACGATCTTGTTTTTGATGTTTATAAATTTGTTTAAATATATTCTGCTCTCATATGTTCAGGTGCGACCATGGGATGGTTTGTAGGCCTGGCATTTCTCCCTCTTCTCTACAAGCATTCAGAATACCTGTCTGAACACAACTGGCTGCCTTACATCATTCTCTGTGCATTTGCCATAGCAGGAGGAATTCTTATTCTCTGTATACAGAAGGTAACCTTTGTTCTGAGATATTAAGCTAGCTAAGTATTTCCAAATTCTCCAGGTTATGTTTCATTTTAGACAGTAGCTGTAGCAGAGGTAATTAAAGTAACTGTGGGATCCCATGTAAACTTAATTTGGCATCGCAATGGTCTGTTATATGTAAAATCACCACTGCACTAAGGTTTGAAGATCACCCTGTATTGTATGTGCCTCACTCCACCCAGGAGCATACATAGATAGCAGGAAACTGACAGGGGAGCCTGATGAAATGTTAAGGAAGGGGTAGTTACCCTGCAATGAAGCAGCATCCCATCTAGAGGTAGTAATAATACTCCTGGTCACTCCATGCAACAGAAACCAGGATAAGGTCGGGTCTGACAAGCCCTTTAGCTCAACTGCTGACTCCACCTTTCATGTGCTATTCTTGATGGATATGGGACACCCTGTTGACCAAGTTGGTCCCTGAATTTGCATTTTAAATAACATTTTTCCTTCCATGAAGAAACATGTTAGATTTTTTGTATTATAGCACCATGAATGAGATATTGACCAATCAATTATGATTATTATTGTGGTTTTAAGGTAATAATTGTCATCTCTACATCCTTCTCTGGAGCCTTTTGGTGTGTCAATGGTATTGATTACTATGTGGAAAATGGCAGAGTGCTGTACTACTCAATCAGTGTTTTGCATGGTAAGTGAAGAGTTAATATGAGTATAAATTACAAGAGGTTTTTTTTTTCATGCACCTCCTCCAAGTTCCTGGTCATATTGCATAGTACACAGCACATTAATTTCTGATAGAAGTAGAAGATGAAAAAGTGGTCCTTTCCTAGTATTGCCTGCCATACAGGAATTTGTAAGAATTAACTTTAAGGGAATAAAGCCCAAATAACAGATGTATTTACTGGCTATTTTACAAGGATGTCTCCATGAATTGAACTCTTTGACTATACCATATAAGAATCATTTTCCAGGTCAAGATCATTTTCAAGAAATTTCATCCATGAAAGGCTTTCAAGAAGCCTTTTCATTAAATTTTCTTCTATCATAACAGAGTGTAGGATGTGCATCTTGGGCAGAGAAGGAGAAAAAATTATATTTGCAGAAATGTGTAAATACAGAGAATTTCTCCTTGTGTTCATGGTACTGATAATCAACTTTTCCAGTGTTCTGTTGTTTCATGTCATGCTGAGGTTGTCCTTTATTTTGTAGGTCATTACACAAAGTCTGCCTTGCCTCACTGCTGGTATACCTGGGTGGTGTTAGGTCTTATCCCAGTCATGTTCATTGCTGGGCTGGTGGTGCAATTTTGTAAGACTGCAAAGAACAGTGATCATAGAGAAGGTAAGAATGGCTGAATAATAAAGCTTCTGTGGATAAACATGCTTTTAGCATTATTAGAAGAAGATGAAGAAGAAGAAGAACAGCAATGATTTATCTAATTTTTGTTATCATCATTAAAAAATGTAGTACAATTTACAGTATTGTGTCGTGGAGGGTGTCAGTACCTATTTTGTATTATATGAAAAAATTAGTAATATGGGTTGGTTCAATAATTGAGGTTTAGTTATTCTTATAATCACTGTGTTTCAGGCTGCATGTAGCAGATTGAGAAGTGTAATGTATTTTTTTTATTGTGGATTGTGTCTATTTTAAGTGTGAATGTTGTGTTGTAAGTAAGAACTTTTTGCTTTTGTGGATATCTCTTGGTTTTATGAAGCAAAACATTAAATGAGGTCATGGCTAAACAGCTTGGTAATTAGCCAGTTGTTCAGAAAACAGATGATGTTATCTAATGGAGAAATGGCTTTCCAGTGGATAAGAGTTAACAAAACGTTCTTAGCTATCCACCATTTAGAGATTTATCAGGTAATGATAAGGTAATTCACCCTTTGGACAGTAGGGGCCTGATGGATAAACAAATTGCTAGCCAGTGAAAAGGATAAAACCCTGGTTGTTCTCTGACTTCTTGAACTTTCTATTACTGCTAGTGTTTAGACTTATTGTTGTTGTTGTTTTTTTAACTGCAATAAAGCTTCTCACTTGAAATACTACTATAACCAATTTTATTTATGATTACCCCTTAAATCCTTTGCTGATTTTGCTATTGTATTAAACAGCTTATGGCAGGAGTTCAAGGAATCTTTACACAGCAACTCCCATGCAGGATTTCTCGGACCAGGTATATTTTATTCCACTGTAAATGGCTTGAGCCTGTGAGTTGCTTTTGATCGCGAATTGTCTGGTGAGGGTAGTTAATCTAAACATTGTTGCCAATGACAGGAACTGATGATTTCAAAACTGGAGCAGTCTTTATCATAGGTTTATGCTATGATGAATTTTGTCACATTGTCACTTCTAAAAGTAATTTCCAAGACCACACTTGCTTGAACAATCATATAACCAGGTACTACTTTGTTGTCCACAGAGGAAGCCAAGTCTGATATATCCTGAGTTTTTGAAACCTTGGGTTCATAGCATTGACAAATGCACATCACATGATTTTATCCATATGTGCTTATTTTAAATCTGTGTAAAGAAAGTTGTAATTATTTATCATTCAATTGTCTTATTGACACTTGTCTTGTATCTGTAGTACCTTTCAAGGGGACAGTGCTATTCAAGATATTCTCTCAGCTGGACCTTGCTACAGCAACTTCAGTTGAACATAACTTGCCACCCCCAGACTAATTATATTTTGATTGATTTGGTTTTAAGTTTTTATGAGGGTTGCATCTGATAATTTATTGGGCAATTCTTGATTGACATTCTGCATCTTTCTTTTCACCAGCGGCCCATTATGACAGACTATGATTAAACAGTACTCAAGAGTCAAAGGACTGCAAGAATTCTTAGTTGTAGAATCCTTTATTTTCACTATCATGGTGAGAATATGTCAGGTGTCCCTCTTATTGATCTAGTACACCCTGAACAGGTCATCATGATAATTCAAGTGTTTCTATCCTTATAAGAGTGCTCTGCACAGGGAGTTGTATTGTTTTTAAGTGAACATTTGACTACCACTCTGTCATGTTGTTTTAAAATTAACTTTTAAGAGCTTTTTCTCAGGAGCAACTAAGATGCCATGTTTTATGATAGCATTGCATTTTCAAGGAAAATTTAGTAGTCTGATTGTTCTGGGAAAAGAATCTCTATAATTTTAAAATTATTAGTAGGTTGGTAGCAACTTTTCTTTTGTCCACTTAAAACCTGCTTGTTGCAGAGAATTGAATTTTTGGACTCAATTGTAAAATAACCATCTTGATCAGATCATTGTGAACAACCCTCACCAGTTGTTAGATGCTCCCAAAAAATTTGGAGATTTCTGTGCATGTTTTTTTTTAATTTCTGAAACACTAGAAGTGCACTTACATCCATGTTTTTTGTATCATAAAAATCCTAACCATAGGAATGGGATGAAAGAAAGGCTAACCTCCTAACACCTTCTAGGGAGAAGAGGAACATGTGGATTTCCTTTTCTGTCATAGAACCATGACAATTTGAAAAAAACAAGATGGTTTTAGGGTTTCTTGTCTTGTGGTTTAACGGAGGGTAAGTCAATTCTGAAATTAATCTTGGTGAGAAATATTTCAGTGCCTTGATTTTGGTCTTGAGGTATATGGATGGTCCTCAGGGCCAGTGCCAGTGCCAGTGCCAGATCTTGCAGTGGATAAATTTACCTTTTTTTGGTTTCTGGAAACTAAACCCTTTAACTTCTAAGATCTGATTTTTAATTCTTCTCTCTAGCTTCTACACATTTCCTTGTTAAATAATGAAGAGAATTCAGTGTTAGGTGAAGTTAACAACTTTTACCTGATAAGTTTGTGTATTCTCATTACCTGTTTGCTGGATAATATACAGATATTTTTATGGAGAAGTTACATGTTAATCACTTCTGGGAGTCAAAAGGTTAATGTGAGGTTTGTCAGAAATAGGTTTAAACGAATACTTTCATTTTCAAATATTTTGGTTTTAAAATTTGTAGAGAACGATTTATTTGCATTGTTAGTTTGTAAATAGCGTTATACTTAACATTGTTGTTTACTATTGTAGAAAAGAGAGAAATTGTCAAATAAATTTGTAAAAACTGTTGTCAAAACACGCCAACCCACTTCTCTTTATACTTTGGTAAGGTTCGTGTGATTTAAATTTCCTCAATTAATTACTCATGGAGCAGTGAGAGTAATAATGACACTCATTGGAGTCGGAAGAGGAGCAGCAGAAATGTGTGCCTCAGGGCCAAACGTCTTTGTTTTACTCGAATCCGTCGAGGTATTAAAAATTCATTTAGTAGCAGACTATTCTGTCTTTTCCTTTTTAACCCTTGAACCAGACACTGATGACTGCAAGCTGTATAATTATTATGACGCGCAAAGCTGCAGTGTGGCTTCAATCGGCATTCTTTTAGGATCGCTCATTTGTTTCTTCGGTAAGTGACATAGTATTAGACAAGGGACATTTTGGAACAAATGTTATGGCCAACAGTATGAAACGAAATGAAAACTTACCCACTGAAGTGTTCTATCTGGTGGGTTGTGTCCTCGTGTACCGGTACACAAAGGATCGAAACATTAACGAACTGCGTCACAACTCCATGTATGGATATGAAAACAATAAGAATTCCCCCTTGTACTGGTACACCAGGACAGCCCCTATCTGGTGTTACGCCGGTGGGAAATTTGATCCATAGTTCGACCGCAATGCAAACGTTGACATCCAAACGATACAAACTCTCCTATCATTGATAGAAGATGAACATCATGTTTCACGCGCACATTCACGTGCTTCTGAGAGATATTGTCAGAGAGCTCCGTTCTGTGCTAGAATTCCAAGGAAATATAGGTTCACCATTGAGAATCTGAGTACCAGCGAATATTGTCCCCAAGGGACATAGACCCGATCTCGGGACTTCCGTGACGTTGGTCTTCCCAAGAAGAGCAGTGCTACCTCCGGTCATATTCATTTTACCGTACATCCGAGCGCTTGCCCGAATCCTTCAAGTTACAAAATGCATTTGGCATCGGACTTTTTAGTCTCTTCCACTCCAACTCTGGAACCAGACGCTAAAGATTGCGAGCTGCATAATTCTTACGACACTCAAAGCTGCATTTTGGCTGCAATAGCCATTCTGCTGGGATCACTCATTTGCTTCTTTGGTAAGAGACATTGGGTTACATGGGAAACATTGAAGAATAAAATTTCTAGGCCATCCAGTTTGAGTTTAAACGAAAAGTTACCTATATTAGTGTTCTAATTAACGGTACCGTTTGTTTATATTCCGATGAGTTGCTCTGACACCCCTGTTTACCTGCTTTCGAAATACATCTTACCTACCATAAGTGCATGCAAATTATGAATTTATGAAGGTGAAAAACAGTTCATTGCCTTGAAAACAATAAAACTTTGACTATTTCGAGAATAGTCAGCAACAATGTTAGGTAAAGTTTCCGTACAGCCCCATACTATTGTAAAACAAATCTGTTTTCCCAATGGAAATGTATTGTTTTTGTCATTGTTTTCTCTATTCAAGAACTGAATGCATAATGTAGTATGGGGCTGTGCGGAAATTTTACCCAATGTTACCATAAACAAATGTTGTCACACAAGCACAACATTTATTATTCGAATGAATAAATATTATAAAATAATTCAAATAGTACGTGTGCTCTGATTGGCCATAAAACCATTTTACATGAGCGTATGTAAACACAGTTTTTGTTCCTCTTCCATTAGTTATTTTATAAAAGAAATGTAAAATGGTTTCCGTGTTTACATAGCCTGATGTAAACACTTGGGAGGTTGGGAGAACACTCAATAAGCTGGAAACCACTCTGCTTTGTGTCATGGTTTCCTACGTTTATCTCGTGTTCTCCCAACCTCCTGCATGTTTACATCAGGCTATGTAAACACGGAAACCATTTTACATTTCTTCAGTAGTAACTGATTCAGTGAACACGATATTTTTATGTGCACATCGAAATAGGTCTGCAAGGTATACATGAGCTGAACTAGACCATTTTGAGTTCAAGTAAATTTTAGATAAAGAAAGAAGCAGTTTAAAAGATAGTTGTAAATTGTTGTATTGCTGATATCTTGTATTGAGTACTTCAAGATAGTGATTAACATTCAGTATAAAGGTGGGGGAAAATAAAACAGATAACATATGCTCAAATGATAGAAACTGATAGGAAAAAAATTTTATTCATAATTTCAGTAAAAAAATTTGTTGGGGTCATTACTATTGTTAATGACATACCTTATTTCTAGATATACAAATGTGCGTTTGCAATAAAATCTATGTAATATTTATTGTATTAAATTCATTTCCTTTTAGGATACCGGATATTCAAGTTTATGCTTTTCTTAGCTGGTTTCCTAACAGGATTTTTCTTCACCTATATGTTATGCTCTGGATATCTCACGGAACATCTATCTGGGAAATCTCTGGAGCACAAAGATCAGGTATGGTATTCCTTCAGTTAAAACTCTAGTAGCAATGATTCTTTAAGAGTAATTATTACTATTGTCTATAAATTCAGTCTTGCTAGAGGCAGCTTGAATTTGGTCAGCTTCACTAGTAGGAGAAGAGCTGAAGGGGAACAGCAACCCCTCCCATCAGAACTTTGGGGTTTTTTACTACTTGTTTGAGACCAATTTCTCCCAGCAACAGGATAACATTTTACCCCTCAACTTGAAGTAATTTTTAGTTACTCACCTTAAAATATTTCTAAGCTCTAGTGTAACACAAAAACATTCTGTATTAACTGAACTAAAGTTTTAAGACCATTCCAACATAAATTCCTTGATCTACACTGGGCTTGTCTGATGGTTGAAGGGTAATGGTATTTGAATCAAAAGGGCTGGGTGTGAGGTGCAGCCAGGGTCACTGAATTGTGTGCTAGGGCAAGACACTTTGCTCTGAGAATGCATCTCTTCATCCAGGAGTATGAATGTTTGGTACGAGTGAACAAAGGTAAACTGAAAAATTATGGAGGTACCTTACAACTAGCACCCTACCCTGGGGAAGCAATAAATATCCTATTCCCTTCATGTTGTGAAACTGGTATGAGTTCTAGTAGTGTGAGCAAATTTTCTTCTCCAGAGACTCCATCTCTATTAACCTTAAAAGAGAGAGGGCAGAGCATAATTAGGGTTATTGATTTGAAGTAAAGAAAAGACTATTCTTTTCTGTTGATGGTTTCAGATATTTCTTGGTGCTTCTGTTGGTGTTGGGATCATTGCAGGGCTATTGACACTGTGTATTTTTTATTTGGGACTTTTTATTCTTGGTAAGGCTCAGTTTAACTTTAACATCAATTTCTTAACAGGGAAGTGGAAAATGAGCCATTAAAAAGTGATTATTATAATCTACTTTGTTATGTCCTTCCACTCCTAGCATGCTTAGAAGGAAATATTAACTTGATATATTTTTTAATGGGGGATTTTCACTTGATGATGGCCATTTTATGGCTAATTTGAATTTGGCTATGCTCATGAGGGTGTAAAGGCTTGGTTCAAACAAACCCTTTAAAAACTGAATTCATTTATTCGTTTCTCAGCAAAACTTCAAATGAACAAACTTTTATCACAAAGATGTCAACCAATGAAATGTGCACAGGTTCATTACTACTCACAATAAAGTGGCAGATCCAGACCTTGAGTTATATACACAGTATGGGGTCCCTTTCAAAAATAAATCAGCCAAGAAAGATTCTCAGTGAAAAGGTTTTAGGTCTAAATTTAGGGGAGGACCCTCTCCTAGATTGCCACTTTATTGTAATGCAATGCATTTTGCTCAGTTGCATGCGACACTTTACTACCCTATCATATTGTCATGTTTCAAATGTAACAGTTTTTTTTACATTTTTATATTTCCTTTGTTGTATTTGACTTTTATTGTTAACACTTTCTCTCTACTTGATTGTATTAGGTGCAACCATGGGATGGTTTGTGGGCATGGTTTGTCTGCCACTTCTCTATAAACATTCAGAATACCTGTCTGAACACACCTGGCTGCCTTACATTGTTCTTTGTGCTTTTGCCATTGTGGGAGGAGTCCTTATTCTCTGCATACAGAGGGTATACAAAAGTTGCATTGATTAATTTTTTCTTTTGGTGTACGAGCACTACCCTGTATACAAAGCTAACAACAGACAGCAAATAGAATTGGGGAAAAAGATGGAGTAGTCCATGGCCATGACTATGCATGGTTATTAAATCATTTCAAATTTGCTATGTCATCAACATGACCTGACAGGGCTGTGTCCCTATGGAAATGCTCACATTAATGCTCAATTATTGGCTTGTTAGTTTAGTGTGGAAGGCCACTGTGACTGTAGCAACACCACACCTTCTTAGAAAAGCCTTTCGTCTCAGCTTTATGTACACATACTGTTACTAAAAAACTAGTTTGGAGACTCCATTTTTGAATATTGAATTACAAGCATGGTATGAAGAAGTATCCTTTTGAAAGTTAAAAAAAAAAACCCTCTTTGTTGAACCTTCAGAGCTACATCAATTGGGTGCTGTGAAAGCTGACCTCTTCAGTTTGTGTATGTGTTCTCTTGTTTAAGGTGGTAATTGTAATAGCCTCCGCATTCCTGGGAGCTTTTGGTTGTATTAATGGCCTTGACTACTTTGTGGAGAACAGCAGATCACTCTACTACTCAGTCAACATTCTGCATGGTGAGTGGACTGTTCAAAACTTGTCAGTGAATCATTTCCAAATAAATGTTAGGCAATTGGGAGCAATTGCTCACTAGAGAGAGGCCTAGAACAGTCATGCATCTACAGAATAATTCAATTTAGGGCAATAATGCATAACTTTAAAGATGCAACTGACTTTGGGAAATGATCATTAACCATAGAAGGTCTTGATTAACAAATTCTCCTTGTCAGCCTCCTATGAAATGTATAGAGAGCAGTATGGAGAATATACATCCAGATGTGAGAGTGTAAAAATTTAATGTTATTCTTCTGGTTTTGCAGTATATTTGAGAATGACTTGCTTGGTTCAGGAGTACCCTCTTGGTGTGCCTCCCCGCAAACAGTTTCTTTTGAGATCAGAGGACAATATTGTCGTCTGGTGTGGATGATGCCTCATGGGGTTAATTTGATAATTCTCTTTGAATTTGTAGGCCACTTTGACAAGTCAGATTTGCCCACTTGTTGGTACACATGGCTGATTTTGTGTCTTATCCCAGTCATGTTCATTGGTGGATTGGCTGTGCAGCTTGGCATTACTGGAAAAGGCAGAGATCATAGAGAAGGTACCTAACATAAGGGTAGACAGTCAGTCAGTCAGACACAGACAGACAGGCAGATAAATTGCAGACAAACAGACATGCAGAAAACATAGTAGAAAAATCCTTGATGGCCGATTTCCAATTAGTTAAGTAAGAAAGCACTGGTAACAGGTACATGTCTTTGAATAAAGGGGGTAAGTTTATCAAAGAAACTGTGAAGATACAGGAATAAACAGACAGATAGAGGATCAGAATATCGCATGAATATGTAGATGAATGATGAGGAAGTCTGAAATTGCCAAATAATGATAGAAGACAATCAATTTTATAAGACAAACAAGCCACAGATGGATAGACTGAAAGAAAGTCTTGGAAGGCAATAAGACAGTTCATCCCTCTTTTTCTAACAGCTTATGGAAGACGATCACGTGTGCACCCTTATGGCACTCCCATGACAAATCATGCTGACCAGGTAAATATGTATCATGATTCATAATTGAAACATAAGCAAAATGATTGTGTTGAATATCCTGCCTTGATAAATAGTTGGAATTTTTTGATTAATATCTGACTTGAAAGAATACATTTTCAAAGGGGTCTCAATCATACCCAATACCTTTGTGCAGTTTTTTTTTATTATACCTGGTCATACATGGCATATATTTTTTTTGTGTGTAAAACGTCTAATATGCTAATTGGAATTAGTAAGTTGATCTTGCACGAAACAAATTTGTAGAATTTTACCAGTTTTGCTTCTGATTCATATCAATGATGTATGTTTTGGAAAACAGGACCAGCTGCACTTCTTCTTTGTTGGTTTTATCTAGACTCGTACTCAGTGAAATAGCTACTTTCAATTGGTAACACAACATGCTCTTAACTAGATGCCCCTGACATTAAATTTTAATTTGGCATTATTGTTGAGATGCTCTTCAGTTAATTTTAATCACTAGTGCAGGTCAACTCCCATACATACCCTGTTTTTACACCTTGTTTAGGTTTAGGTGTCTAAATTTTTGTGTATGAATATATTACACTGGCAATTCCTCTGAAGATACTCCCTGTTACACAGTCATAGTCACAAGTAATCATTAACTAAGGAATTTGACTTTTAACTCTTTCATTTTCAGGAGTGACGAAAGGAATTTCTTCTTTCAATTTGAATGTATTTCAATGTCAACAAATTCCAATTTCAATTCAAATCAATTCAACACCAATTTCTCAACAGTTAAATAAATAGAAATGTATAGAAAATTGTGAAGAGAATTGACATTTAGATATTGCAAGTGAGTGGGTTGAGAACAAGGTAAGATCTTTTAGCAGATATCTTTTTGGTATCATTAGTTTAAACTAATTTTGATTTTGTCTTTCCTAGCAACCTATCATAGATGATGTTGACTAGAAGTCTTATTCAGGAGGAACTCACCCATTCAGAATGAGTGTTGTAGTATCACTGAATGATATTTTTAATGCATTTGTTAACTTTGAGAGAAAATTTTATGTTTATAACTTAGTACACACTTTTTTTGCATTCAAAAATAGTTCTGTGAACAGTTCTACTTAAGGTTTTTAGTCTGAGAACATACTTAGATTTTTTATCTGTCAGGTCGATGCATAAGGTATATGGAAAAAGGGTACAAGAAACTGAAAAAAGAGAGTGATCATGAAAACTGTCTGATAGTAATCTGGAAGGAGATTAATGGAGCTGTTTCTTCTTTTTTTTTTTTTTGAGTTTCATTGATATTTGTACATGTTACAGTTTAAAAAAAATGCTCACTTTTTTATCCAAGTTAGTTTCTAGATATCACAAGGGCTCAATTTTTCATACCAACTATTTTTTTCTACACACCCACACCCAAAGAAACAAAAGCAAAGTCAAGGTAAATTTCTGTTTAAGTTGAAAATTAAAGAGAACTTCAATAAATTGAAATGGTGTTTCTTTTATTTATTAGTAAAGTGTGTTATCCAATGAAAGTACCTTATTTTATGAAGATGGGATACACAAATATTCAAATAAAAAAAGATGAGATATACAGGGGGTAGGATTTTGAGGGTTAAGGTTCAGGTAAGAGGGTCAAAGGAGTATATTTTCCACTTGGAAGGACTTGGAAGTTGTTCGAGGAGAGGACCTTTTAATTTTGGTTTTCAGGCAAAGGTACAGCTGAAGGCTAAAAATCCTGATTCTTTTAAGACAACTACAATGACAAACAATTACTTAATCTCTAACTAAATACCTAAATACGTAACCTTCCAAGACCATGCAGAAAAACTTCTCTTTGTTCTCAGTCAATTTTCAACAATCTTGTATCTTATAACGATGACAATCCCACAGCTACACCCAACGTAGGTTGCCAATATTAGGGGTTAGGTCTTTAAGCCAACTCTGAGCTGGATATTTCTCCCTTGCTGACTCCAAGTTGGCCCAGTCCCAGATTGTCTACTGTTGCCTGCCTCTAGTTCCTGACACCACATGTTTCAGGCCCATTTCCATTTTCAAGTAGGGATTCCTTTGTGGTTTAAGATCTATGCAATATGAGTGACAGAAAACTACCTACCTTGAGATAAATTTTAACTAAAATAGATAGGAAGCTTGCCAGAAAACTTGAAAGAAACTTAGGAGGTTACCAGAGTCTAGCTGTGTTAGTATGTTGAAGCTTCATTCACCCCAAAATATGCTACATGTAATTTTTTTTACCTTATTTGTTTTGACCTTGATTGCCCTGATCAGTTCTCCTCCCCGGACGATCAACAGGATCAGAAAAAGTAGGGTCAGATTTCTGACAATGGAGAGGAAGTTTGATTGCATTGATTATTTCATCGAAAACAGATACCCAAGATCAAAAACTCATGAAGAACGTAACCAGTGTCGCGAAGTATTTCGAAAGTCCCGCGAGCTGTGTCGTCACAAACTGCACTGTTATCATTCAGTTGCGCGCGCAAGGTTGGCGTAATGTATGACTTATCCCAACCGAAGTGATCTCTTCGAGCGCCAACAGGAATAGTCTGAGAACATATTGCGTGGACAGATACATCAAGTGTACACTGTGGTTAACAGTAGAGCGATATTGGGAACTGCCTTTTGGTCATAAACGTTGAATTTATCGAGCATCATGCTGGACAAACCTTACAGAAAGACGTTGCCAAACTTGAGATGATCACAAACAAAGGCTGGCCTCGCGATGTATGAATAATTTAGCTATGTTTACGACGAGTACTTGATCTGTGTATCTGAGACCGGGATTGAAAATTGTTGAGTATAGATGTCTCAAACAGAACGTTTTATTGATATACCTTTTGCTTTGGTGAAGACATCTGGATTTAAATTGAACTGATCTTAAGTTGTGATGATTTATTCCGCTACGGAAGATGGATGTAAACAAATGTCACGCCTGGCCGAAGAGCACTTTCACACAAGCAGCTGCAGCGATGGATCGATTTTCCTCCTGTGTTCACATTTATTTACCATATGGTAAAGCTTCTTTGCGAAAGTAAACTACTGCTTATTATGACAGATTCCACTGCAAGTATTCTGCCTATCAGGAGTCTCGGTGCACTAGTTACACATCAAAGTAATTGTTATTATCTTCGATCATGATATTGTACCTTGCGATTGCGATTATCGACGATTAAACCTCAAGGAATCTACCAATTTCATTGTAATGACTACTACGATTTGTGCAGATCACTGAATTACGAGGATTTTTTACCCACTCAAATGAAATGGAACTGTCGACATGATCGATGATTCGATATTATGGATTTAAGTTAGACACTTGTGTAAAGTATTGCAAGAGTAAATAATGTAATAATTCTAACATCGGGCAGAAAATTTGGCAATTATTCTTACTTCTATTACCGTAAAATCAAGATGGAAAAATGTATAAAATGCGTCCAAAGGTTGATAAGCCTTCCGTTTCGCGTGCAATCCATGAGAAAAGAACACAGTCAATTTTTGGCGCGCTGAGTAATGGCACGTGACACGAAAGAGTGACGTGGCTTGTAAGCCCTTCGCTGGGGGTCGTTCGAGAATTCAAAAGGGCGGCTATCGCTCTTCGGCGAGCCGGACGGATCTTTGAAGGAGGAAAGAATCTGTGAGGAATCTTTCGCCGTGCATGGAAACGCAAGGCCATCCGACAAGTCAAACCTTGCAAAACCCTCTAACGAACCTTATCGAACGGTATGGTCCGGTTATTATTGGGTTATGTGGCTTGTGAATCGTGATTTACGTTCGTGTATAGTTGTGCGTGGCACCGCCAAAAATGGCGTTGACATTGTAAGATGGCGTTGAAGTGACGCGGACTATTTTCTCTCTCAAGAACTGTCTTTTACCTCCCCTAAAGTAGCATAAATCGTGTCTAACGTTATTTTGCACTTTTTTATGCTATTTTGGGACTATTTAGTTAGATTGGAGGGCGAAATTTGACGAGGTTGTATTGCATCACCTCTAGGCCCAGCTCAACTTTACAGTCTGGTCTCACAAACGAACAAAACTCTGGCGATTCATTGAATGGATTGCGACCAGAGACGAGTCCTGACGGACTCGGGAAGCGAATAAGGCGTTTATCTCACAAGTACGACGATTTTGAACAACAAACAGCGGTAAATATATCTCTAATCAATTTCGTTGTTCGCGAGCTTCGCTCGGGCGGGCAGCATCCTAAAGCTTGAATTTCTAATTTGATGTGTTGGTTGCATATGAAACCGAAATAAATTCTACTCGAACTATTATTCTGTTAAATGTCTTTTGTAGAGAGGTATGGCTCAGACACCTTCTACCGGGCAAGATCCCAAAGTTTATCGAACGACCAACCAATTGCAGTATTTGTCGAAAACTATTATGAAAGCGATGTGGAGACATGCATATTCTTGGCCGTTTCACGAACCAGTGGACGCTGTAAAATTAAATTTGCCGGTTAGTACACTCCTAAAGTACAACACTCTAACTGTGTTCACTCACTCCATTGCAAGTCGTCGTTATTGATTTTGAGTTCTCGTGGTCTTGTAGGATTATTACACAATCATTAAACAACCAATGGATATGGGTCAGATAAAGAGAAAGCTCGAAAACCACGAATATTCCTGCAGTCAAGATTGCATCGATGATTTTCGCCTCATGTTTAACAACTGTATCACTTACAACAAACCAGGAGAGGTATGATTAGTACTATTGTAGTTTGTTATAATATAATCATTTAAAATTGCAGGATTGCATCAATTATAATGCCTTGGAAGTTAGGAGGAAATTGGGTTTGCTTGATAGTATGGAATTACGACAGAATTTGAATTAAATTTCCGTTTTTACCCCAGTATCATAAAGCTATTTCCGTTCCTGTGAACTTTTCAACACATTTGGGTAAAAGGTGTCATTTAGTAAAGATATTGATAATTCTTTAAGAATTGTTTGAACATACCTTTTTACCAGCTGTGCCTAAATCAATCATATATCAATAGATTGTTGTGAATGAGGCCAATAAGGATAGGAAATTTTCAATGGCAACAGTTTTCACTATGGATGACTGTTCCTCAAACATGGATAGTGTAGTTGAAAGGGGAATGAAAAAATTTTTGATTGTTAGGTCATAACAAAAATGTTCTGGAAGCAAGTTGAAAGATTCTTGGACAAGATTTGATTTCATTACCAAGCTTCAAATTTACTCTTGCCCATTTTATGCAATAATTCCTAGCTCTTGACATTGTTGTTCTGAGCAGAATACAGGAAGCCTATCACATTTGAACTTAGTAAAGTTCTAGCCCACTATGTAGTCTCTATGGCTTAGTGGTAGAACATTAGAGTATGGAAGTACCTGATCTGAGGTTTGATACCTCATGGGAACCCAGACTTGTTCCTTTGTCCCATGTCTGAGAATAGAGGAAAAACATCTTTCTTAAGAATTCAATTTGTGATGCATAGTTCCCTCTTAAATTTGCTCACTGTCGTACCAAAGGAAGTGCCAGAAAGTCATTGTACATTTCTTCACATTTTCTTTTATTTGTTGGTGTTAAGTAGTTATAAGCATAAGCAGATTAAAGCAAAGTATGTTTTCATAATTTGATTTACGTACTCATAATTGATAGTTGGAAAAAGGAAGTAATGTGCCAAAATTCACTATGTGGGTGCAATACACTACTTCCTATTGACGCCATATGTGTGGTTTTTGTTTCTTAAGTTTAAATGATAAAGATGAACAATCAAACAAAATTCATGATTGCATTCTAATGTTCATTACCTTTTTTTTGTCACTTCTAATCCTGGGTAAAGGTTTAAGGGATTTGTTCAAGTCAAGGATTATAAAGCATAATTTAAAATTGGTTATTGCAAATCAAGGGGTTTGATTGGTGTGGCCAGTGTGGTTTATGAACTATTGTACAACAGCTGCATTGAAAGTTATTTGTACATTCTTCAGTTTAATGTGTTATTGATTATACTGTTGTCAGGAAGATTTATAGATGACCTGTGGTTGTTCTTATGTGACAATGCTTATTCTGCCAACCCACCAATATTTGCTCAGTCTAAATTAAATTTTGCACCCATTCAATAGAATGAGTCATGCCATTGAAATGGCTTGTCCTACCAAACTCTCAAATGAAAATCCTATGTCATGAAAACAGCAGTCACAAAAATAATCTATCTTTATTTACAACAGGATGTAGTTCTCATGTGCCAGACAATGGAGAAAGTTTTTAACCAGAAAGTTGCAACCATGCCTGCAGAGGTGAGACTTGGAAGTTCAAATGCATGTACATAGATGCCTTATTTGACATACTCAACTGAAACCTCAAAAGTGTTTTATACTTGAAAGTAAAGGGAATATATTTATCGAGATCTACATATTTTGCTGTAGGAATTTGAGGTACTTCTAGGACCCAACAAGAAGGCTTTACCCAGTGGACCAGCTGCAAAGAGAGCCAAAAAAGGTGGTGTTCCACCAGTAAAAATGGAACACAGTCCAGGTAACTGTTTTAAACCTTTAAATTTCAGAAGTGATTAACATGTAACTTCTCCCTATAATACCCATATATTACCAAGCAAACAGGTAATGAGAAGACTCAAACTTATCAGTTAGAAGTTATTATCCAGGAATTAATTTAAAAGGATATGTGAAACAGCTAGAAAGGGAAATTAATGATCAAATTTTAGGAGTAAAAGGTTAGTTGGACTGTGTCCTGTGTATAGGTAAAATAAATTAAAATTTAAAACTGATTGTAATTGATTATTGAAATTAATTCAGGATTTGATTGGCTTTGCTTCTTTATGCTCTCTGCTTGGGTGCTGCATGCAGCACCTTTGCATTCATTCAAATGCAAAACTAACCTTTTTAATTAGGGCTGTCAACTAGTTTGCAAGTAGAAGAAAATGAGAAGGACTAGATGGCCATATTATCCTGGACACCATGTTGTTTCATCAGATTACATGAAGGACTGGGAACTACAAGTTCTAATGAGTGTGCACTCCTCAAGCTCACACAAACCTTTGTGCAAATTCTGAATCGATTCACACATCTTAACCTGTGACTGGAAATGAAATCTAACTTGAACACTCTGTCAATCTTGAATAATGCAGAAAGCAGTTGAAGTTCTAATTTGCACTAATCTCTTGTTCTATTGTTGTGATTTCAGTAGCTCCAGATAGCACTCCAATGACAAGCTTGCCGTATCCCACCCCTCCTGTAGCTGTAACAGCCACAACTGCTCTTCCAACTCTAGTTGATGCAACAACTGTCTTGCCCTCCCCTGCCATTTCTGCTGCTCCTGCTCTCCCAACAACTGTTCAGCCTGCCAAGGTTTGTTTACCTCATCTGTTACTTTCCAGTACTTTCTTATAACAAAGGAGAGCTATGGTAGACAAATTAATTCAAAACATACATGAAATGGTTCTTTGCTACAATAAGTGTTTTGAACCAGTTGTAACTTTTGATCAAGTAGTCGAATTGTCCAGTTCAGAGTAGTCCCAAGAGTGATTGTTGTTGGTTGTAGTGACTGACATTACAGCAACCCTAGTAGAAGTCGTTGTCAAAGTCAAGTGAAGTGTTCTTGTCAGCCAAGTTTGACACACAACTGATAGAACACTTGACACTCAACAATTAACAGTTATTCACCAGAGGGGAGGTCAATAGGGATAATATTTACCTCGCCACAAAGCAGCAAAGTAAATATCCACCACTTTCAACAACTTTGAGGTGAATAATTGTTTTAGTTAATTAGTGGTTCATACTAAATGGAGATATTTGCTGTAAGTCTGTTTCAAGGTTTCTTGAATGTTGATTTCCAACAATTCATCAACTTTCAAATTTTAAGATAACAAATCTTAAGGACTTTACAAACATTTTGTCTTAAGGTCAAAAAAGGAGTTAAAAGAAAAGCTGATACAACAACTCCTACCACACCGATCAGTGGAATGGGAGATTCCTTGCCTCCTGTAAAAGCTAAAGCTGCTAAAATACCAACCAGGAGAGAATCCACCAGAACAGTGAAAAAACCAAATCGAGATTTACCTGAAGAGCCACAGGTGGTGAGTATCACTACTGACACATGTTGCCTGACAACTTAAATATTTGTACTTTATTTCAATAGACTAGTTGAAGTTGTGATATCAGTTTGTTTTCATTCTTTTTGCTTGATTGGTTTTTAAAGGAAGTTTTATTCCTCTTTTGAATTTTCATCTTTTTTCCCCCCAGTCACGAGGTAAAAAGAAACCATTATCAGAACAACTCAAATACTGCAGCAATATTATCAAGGAATTGTTCTCTAAAAAACACGCAGTAAGTGATTAAAAGGAATGTCATAATCAGGGTTGTCAAAATAAACCAGCAAACATCACATTTTGCTATCTACTCTGAAAAATGCACTGGAAATTCTAAATCCTTGTAGCTGACATTGTGCCCCCTTCTTAGTATCACAAAGTGGTTTCTCAAAATCTTTTTGACAACCCTGTCATCAGTGATGAATATATAACCAACAACAATCATTTTGAAATAATAACATCTTAAATGGTATTTATATTCTCAGACTGATAGTCCCATTTTTCCTTTTCTTTTTGAGGTTCATAGAAGTGTCTCTCTTTATGTCCACAATTCTACAATACATTTTCCAAAACAAATTCTAATCAATGTTTACCTTGACTATTCTGTTATTGGAGATGTACAATGCTTAAAGATGGCTCTTAGTGCAAATGATTTGACCCTTAACTCTGTAACTTTTAAGATCTAATTGCTAATTCTCCCCTCTAGCTTCTGTGCATTTCCTTGTAGTTATGATAATTTGATGTTAGATCAAAATAACAACCTTCTGCCAGAGAAGTTTGAGTATTCTTATCACCTGTTTGCTGTACAATGTATGGATACAATGTCGGGAAAAGTTACATTTTAATCACTTCTGTGAGTTAAGAAATAATTCCTGGATCTGAAGACCATTTGTTGTACACTGTTTGTTAGTTGGCAAGTCATGCTCAACATAACTTGAAGTTGGTGATTTTTTTTGGTGAAATGTGAAGGATAATTGAATTACTGATTACTCATGGAAAAAGAAGGGTTAAATGAAACTTTGCCCCCATTATTTTTAGGCATATGCATGGCCATTTTTCAAGCCTGTTGATGCAAGTAGTCTTGGATTGCATGATTATCATGACATAATCAAGCAACCTATGGATATGGGTACAATCAAGGTTAGTAATCAATCTTTTTTGATAAGGATGCAATATATTTCTTACTCCTTTTCTTCCATTGCCTCTCAGTTCTTTAAAGTTTAAATTCAACAACTTTGCTAATTTCTTTCACAGGTGAAAATGGAAGGAAGAGAGTATAATTCGTCCTCTGAATTTGCAGCTGATGTGCGACTCATGTTTAGTAACTGCTACAGATACAATCCACCTGACCATGATGTTGTTAAAATGGCAAGACAATTACAGGTTTGATGCTTGGATTATCAGTTGAGTGAGGCACAGAAAAAGTTTGGTGATAGGGGTTTTACTGAAAAGTAATGGTGTTGTCGCAGGTGCAACCTTCCTTGTTTCCAATGGTAGCCAAATTGCAAGAGCTGCCTGTCACCAATTGTCAAATGGGAAGTCTTGCTGATAGAAGTTAAGCCAGTTTCCAGCAACAACACCATTTTAACATCAAACCATGGCCAGCAAAGTTCAGTTGTGCCTTATTCAACTGTACCACTCTTCGTGGCTGTTTCTCATCTTTTTCAGTAGTTTTACTGCTAGAGGTTTCCTCAGAAAGGTTATAACCCCTTCCCTCCCCCCAAAAAATTGCAATTATCAGGGCGTGAAATTGCGCCTAATACAGGCGCCAATGCGACTAAATTTTTCACTTTGGCGACCAAATCCTGAAAGGTAGTCGCCAAATTGGCGACTAGAACGTTTCATCTAACCTTACCAAGAGATATAGTGAATTAAAAAGATTTGCAAAGATAAATCCGCGGCAAACTTCCTCGTTAAGTTTGTTTCCAAAACGTAGCACATGCATCTCGATCGACAACTAGACACCATCTTGGATTTAGATGAGCCTTAACGTTGTATATCATCCATCCTAGTGTCCACTTTGTAGCACGTTAAAGATCTTTTCCCTTTGAAAATGGCGACCAACGTTTTTTGAATTGGCTACCACTTTGAAGAATTTAGGAGCCAAGTGGCTATCAGAAAAAAAAAGTTAATTTCACGCTCTGATTATGCATGCATTGAATGGTGGCAACTTATTCCTTCAAAATTAGTACTTAAACATTGTCACTCCTTTCTTTACAGGATGTTTTTGAAATGAAGTTTGCCAAAATGCCTGAGGAACCAGAGCTTCCCCCTCCACCTGTTACAGAGCCTACAGATCCTGAACCAGAGTCTGCAGCAACACCGCCATCATCATCACCACCCTCTGAAGACAATGAAGCAGACAGAGCTGAGCAGCTCTCACAGCTTCAACAGCAGGTATGTTCATATTTGCAACCATTAGTTTCTGAAGTTATTGTGGTATAGCTTGTTCATTCTCCTCCTCTTGAAGAGTCTAGTTTTTTTTTCTTTCATTTCCTTGAATAATTAACCTTTAAGAAGTCATCATGACATTATTGTGGCTTAAAAAATGGCAAAAACATAATCACCTGTCCATCACTGTTCTAAGGATGAACAATGCTTTCCACTGGATAAATCCCAATGCAGTTGATAGGGCAGCAGGTTTCTCAAACACTTATCCGCTAGACAGTGATAAATTGGTTGGATAGCATTATCCATCCCTCTGGACCCAGAACCAAAAAAACCATAATAATGATAAAAAGCATTTGTGCTTTTTACCAACAGCTTATATCAGTGCATGAGCAACTAAGCAAACTTACTGGAGAGTCTGTTATCATGACAAACAAGACAAAGAAGAAGCCAGAGAAAAAACCTAGTAAAAAGGAAGCCAAACCACCGGCTGCGCCTCAACCAAAACCCAAGCAGAAAACAGCCAAGGCTGCTAATGTTACACCAGCCCAACCAAAACCAGAAAAGCCAGCTAAGAAGCAGTCAGCTTCTAAAAGATCTGCAAACAGCAAGTAAGTCAGAAGTTGGTCTGTGATGTTGCAGTCCTGATTGAGTAAGTCACTCAACATAGATCCTTTTTTTTTTTTCTTTAATGCTGAGATAAATATTTTTTGTTTCAAAAAAAGGATTGCTGCTAAAAAGAAAACTTTGGAGATAGATACAGATGATGAAGAAGACACTGCCAGACCCATGACCTATGATGAAAAACGACAGCTTAGCTTAGATATCAACAAGCTTCCAGGTTGGTAAAAGTACATATATTTAAAACTTTTTTAAACCAAAAAAATGCCTACACAGCCTAATTTTATGGTTATTACACTTGTTTTAAAAGTTTCTGCAACAGATTTCTCCTTGCTCAACAGCACTTGTTTCTCTTTAGAAATGAGCGACAGCAACAAACTAATTTGAGTCTGTGAAACCTTTTTGTGACTAAACTCTTTCAGTATTGTTGCTCAGTTGATTATAGAGACATGCATGCTCTGATTGGCTAAGGATTGCATTATTTCTCACTAAAATCACCTTGCATGAGATGATTATAGCAGGGGCACTAAATTTCTTAACGGCTGCCCCAATGCTTTTGTTATTTACAGCATTTACAGCAGAATTCAAAAGCACCTGAGCAATTATCCTAATTCAATTATTTTCCTCAGGTTCAGTGAACATTGTTAAATAATCTCTTCCACTTCATCTTGGGATTATTCAACAATATTCACTGCGCCTTTGACAAGTTATGGTAATTAATGAGGCTATCTATCTAACATCACCCCAAGTTCTGAGGATGTTATTGAAGACAGTGAATCTTAATCCTAATGATTTAAGTGAAAGACTTTGTTATTTGGCATTCCTATCCTAGAAGTTTGTTACTATGGACCTGGTTAAATTGCCTAGCCTACCACTAGTCTGCTATAACTTAGTGTTATACCAATTGCTAGAACTAACCAAGAGGTCATAGGATTGACTCCTAATGATAGCACTTGGACTTCTTTTTTTCTGATTATGCCTGTGTCTTTCATGTTCTTCAAACATGCACCAGTTGTAACTTCTTTTACTTTGTGACAAGGCAATAACCATGAGTCTTTTTCTTATTGTTCCCATCAGGAGATAAGTTGGGAAGAGTTGTGAACATCATCCAGTCCAGGGAACCTGGTTTAAGGGATTCAAACCCAGATGAAATTGAAATAGACTTTGAAACTCTCAAACCTTCGACATTGAGAGAATTAGAAAAATATGTACAGCAGTGCCTAAGAAAAAAAGTGAAGCCTCCAACAAAGAAAGCTAAAAATGCTGAAGAGAGAGAAATGGAGCAAGCAAAAAAGAAAGAAGAGCTTGAAAGACGACTTCAGGTATGTAGTAACAGAACCAATATATGAGCTAGTACATGTGATACTGTTAGAAGGATCCATTGCTTTTATCTTATCATAAGATGTAGATGATTATTTTACATAAGCTTTAAATAGTTTTAAGCTACATGTGCTAGCTGCAAAAAAGGGGTTCGGCTGATAGCGTGACTCCTTTTCCTCACCAAGGACGTAAGTGGCAAGCTAGGAGGTGCAGGGCAAAAGAAACAGGCAAAGAAAGGTGGGTTTTGTCCGCTATTACTGTCTAGTTTAATAATAAGCACAGTATTGTTACTAGTGATTTTTTTTCCTAAATGAAACAACAGAATTGTAGCCCTATCATTCTTGTTTCCCACAATGAATTCATGTTTGAATCAAAATCCTTTAATCAGTGAAACAGCAACCATATCATGAAAACTGATCCTCAAAATAGCTTTGCCATCAAATAAGCGCATAAACTCAAAGGAAGTCTTAGAATGTAGTGACATATCGGGAAGAGTTTTAGAGTGATTTTAAAATTCAGGCATTAAAATTTCAAATTAAAAATTTGATTTTAGATATAACTTCACTTTCAGTGCAGATCTAGGAATGACATTCTCCTCTGATTATCTTGACAGAATCACAACGGGCAGATAACTCAGTAGTAGATGTTGTGGGTAGTGAACCTCGGCCAAAAAGGTTGAGTGAAAGCAGCAGTAGTAGTGGAAGTGGAACAAGCAGTAGTTCTGATTCAAGTTCAAGCTCTGGGTCTTCTAGTTCAGCCAGCAGCTCTGACTCAGAATCAGGTAGTGAAGAATAGAAAGACTTGCAGAAACTGCGCCAAAAATGACACCAAAAAGTAGTTGCATCGTAAAGTTAAGGAAAATTATGATTGCTTTTAATCATGGCCTGGATACTTAGTTATGGTATATTCACAGGCCATGTTATTTTTTAGTGTAAATAGTGTAAATTATAATCCACAGGTGCTTTAAATTGGGTTATGAGCTGCTTGATTTGTAGTTCATATAATGTTTCTGTGTTCTCAGTAGATAGATTCACCTTCATCCAGTAACACAACTGTTGTGTATATTTGTAAAAAATTGCTGACATAAGTTTAACATAATATAATTATCAGCAAAGATATGGACAATCCCCATCATCTTTTCAGCACTCAGAGATGACTGTCAAGACTTGTGTACCGCAGAAAGAATTAGGGATTTGTTTGAATGACTGCAAAGCGGTGCATTTGTAACTGTTCTCCACATTCTGCCAACATCTCAATACAACAAAATAAATTTGTATTTTACAATTTTTGGATTGTTTGTTTGTTTGTAAAGTTTGCTTTTGCTCTTTGACAAGTTTAGGTTACCACTATCCCATGCTCAGGTGAATCTAATTTGGTTTCTTGTTCACAGAGTCTGGTGGTAAAGGCCACAAGACTTCTCACAGTACTGGAAAGGTACTTATGATTTCATTCACTCCATTTCACAAAAACCTTTCCCTTCCTCAACCATTACTACTCTACAATTGACCTTGACATGCACACAAATTGAGAAATTATGATCTCATCCTATTATTTTTTTTTTTTTTGAGCTGAGCTTTGTAATCAGTTAGCAGATTTCTGTTCTGAAATAGGCATGCACTACCAAAATAATTGTCAGATCAAGTCTGAGCAGTTAAGACAAAGAGCCTGGAATGATTAATAACTGCACAAAGCTAAAACACCATCACATCTCTGCTTACAATCACATTCATATCCTCATTCTTAAAACATACTGCCATGATTTTAGTCTTCTTTGACTTGCCTGTTGATACTAACGGGGCAGATCTCGTTCTCTCCCTCCTGACATTGCCAGAACAAGTCTACTGGTCATACATCCAAGGCGACACCAACGCCGTCCAAACCAGTAACAAGTCATGTGACTCAGCCTGGTATGTCTACATCCCCTCTTTTACAATTTTAACTCTTCGATCCACCATTTCTTTTGAGGTGTAAAACTATCCCTGTAGAATGGTTTCTTTTCAAAACTAGAGTACGCATTGTTTGTTTAAACCCCCCTGGAAATAATATAATAGCTAAGACAAATTTGTATAGTCTTCCCACTTCCATTCAAAAGAAATGGTTGATTTGAAATGGAACTGTGATTTAATGATAAATTATTAAAAAAATCAAAATATTGAAAACTTTTGTATTCATTTATCCCTGTCTGCTAAAGTTCACATTATTTTTGACATAAAAATGTCATCATAATCATGTTGGTTCCCTCCTTGACTCTCACCCAAGTCTTGAGCAACTGTTTACCTCTGAGAGCATTTACAAGTTAGTTTTTTACACCTTTGGGGAATCAGGCTTGACTTGGGACTTTCCTAGTGGATGAAGATTGCGATTTTGAATATTTACACTCCAATGAGTTTCAACCCTTTATTCTCACTGTCAAGCAGAAAGATGATGATAACGTTTCCAATGTATCGCCATTTATGCATAAATGGTAATTACAAGAAAACTGAATTGTGTGCAATCCAGTCAATTTGAAGCTTTGTCATCAATTAGGTTGTGCTAATAAAATACCCACATACAAACACAAAACACAAGAATTGCCAGAACCAAATGTGTTTCCTTGCTAGCTCTTTGCTATTGTCAAATAGGAAAAAGATAATCATAGACAATCTGGTCTTGTCTTAGAAACTAAATCAGGCTGTCAGTTCTTTCCTTTATTCCCCATATCATTTTCTCCTTTTCTTTGTTGCATGTTAGAGAATTTCTGTGTGTTTATTTATTTGTTTGAAGAGCCTTAACATCAAGTCCAATTTTACCTTGTAAAATTGAAATTAAAGAGAGTATTTTGTACTCGACTATATTCACAGCAATTTTTTACCAACATGAGGGACTGAGTAGTTTAGCTAGTTTCAGTTCAAATTATGTTGAGTTCCTTCAATTCAACTGAAGCCTGTTACTCAGAAGATTGAAATCATTTTTTAATTGTTCTTTTGATGCGTGGTGAATTACAATTTCCCAGTTGTGTATACCACAGACAGTTTTTCCCTGCCAATCCTTGCTTTCTCAGCTGTCTTGCTTTGGTAAACATTAAAAACTTGGGTTCAAGGCCATTGAAAGAACTTTAGAGTGATACATTTCTTTACTCAGCAATTGGTTGTTTTCCTTAGAAACTGCTGCACTGGCTTGTTGAAAAAGTGAACCACATACTTGATACATTGTGTTTAAAGAAGCAATACACAAAGGTTTTGAAGAGGCAAGAAATTTGCTCAGATGGTTATTATGAACATTGTTTTTGGGTAAATAAGCAAATATGAAATTGAAACAAAGCCATATCTTAATTTTTGTATATTCAGGGATAAATTAACATAATAGTTAAATTGAAGCAGCTTTTTTTTGCTTAGGGCTCCTAACAAAAATCAACATTGTTCAGTACTCAAACATCTGTTTTAAATTTTAAACTCGATCCGCTTCTTTTATGTGGGCATACTGAATTGCTTCTTTCATCAAGTAAGACAAATGTAATTTTTTTCAATCCATTTTTTGGTCTTTTTCAAATTTGAATTCAAATCACATCATCATTTTTACATTTCCATTTCTGAATACATTGATATGTCACCTATGATAATTTCTCTGCATGTGAAAATGAGGATAAATCACGACACTCTTTCTCATTAGTTTTCCCTTTCCTCTCTACAAACTGAAAAGGTTGAAGAATTGGACCAAATTTCACTTTTATTTTTGAAACCTTGGTGCTTTTGGTGCCAGAAAGATAGATTACAGGTGAAAAGCTTTTGTTTTAACCAATTGCTCAGTTGTTAGCAACACTGTTGACAAAATAACTTAAAAGCTTCCTTTTTTCATCTTAAGAAAAAAAATATTGAAAAAAACCAGGATACCTTTGTGACATCAAGTTACCATTTTCAAATCATTGCTTTGATGGTTTGAATAAATTGATGCAATAGACTTTTTTGCTCATTTATGTGCTGTTTTGATTAGTGCTTAACTCAAAGAGGAATTTCTTAACTAAATTTATTTGAACATCCATTTATTATTATTTTTCAAAGGGGCAAAATCTGCCCTTTAAGGATTGTATTGAATCTCATTCTGGAATGAAAATAAGCTGCAACTATGGCTTCTATGTAGTTGCTTTGATTTGTTGTTTCCTGGTGACAATTTAGAAACACCACACAACCTCACAAGAAAAAAAGCTTGTAGTGACCATCTTTCTTTCCTCTTTCACAAGAGTAAAAACTGGTTGGCTCAGGTACCCTAGACAGCCTGAAACTTAAGGATTGATCAATGCACAATTTTTTTTGTCTATGGTTTTGATCACAGAATTGACCATTAGAATTGCCTCCTTTTTTTTAATCGTCATCTGTCTGCTTGACACTCGAAATTCCTTTACTAAGGATGCTAACCTTTAAACAGAACTGGCTTGGTAGAATGGAGACTTGACTGATCCTGCAGTCTTTCAAGCCATTTCTGACTATTGCTTAGCACCCTAAGTTCCTCTATAAGGAGAAATAAAACCTTAATCCCTTCTGGGTTGATAAAGGAATAGAGATATTAAGCTTGGAAGGCTTAAGTGTATTTCTTACCATTGCTTTAGTTGCACCAGTCTCCAAGTCTACTCCAGCACCTAAGCCTCAAGATAAACCTGCTATTATTACTGCTGTGTCCACAACTCCCCTGCCTACAACAGTAACAAGCAACCCCCTGCTGGCAACTGTAGCACCACCTAAACCTGTTAAACCAGTCCCTCCCAGTATTCCACCAGCTGTACCAAAGTCCACAGCAAAACCAGTTGTATCTACAGTACAGAAGCCTACCTCAACAAGTACCACAGCTCCAAAACAAGCTGTCTCTTCATTTGCAAGAACCACAGCTATGACAAAACCATCAATACCATTGGCACCTACCAACACCACACCCACAGCAGTCCTCAAAGAAAAACCACCTACCCCTGTGGCAGAAAAAAGTTTGCCGTCAACTTCACGACCAGGTGCTGTCCTCAATTTAACCTTTACTTTTGGCGAGATACCCAAACTCCTTTCTCCTTAAATGAGTTTCAGAATTATAGAAATTAGTTATGGCAGCATATAAACTACCCTCTTTGGTCCCAAATTTCCTCAGTTCTTGGGGTCATGTTATACACGTAAAGGACCTCATCCTATTGATTTGACTGTAACCAACAGAAGTCATCCTGAAGTCACTCTTGTTGGGTAACACTTCAGGATGACCCAAAGCAGCTGTCTAAATTTTGAATGTTCTGGTCATAACTTCAGGCTATTAATGTTCCCTTGTTTACCTGAAGTACTGAACAGATCATTTCATTTAACCATGGTTAGATTCCTGTCTTACGGTTTTTCTTTCATTTACAGGGAGTAGCGGACTAACATTTACTGTTGGAGAGTTACCAGGTTCACTTGCATCCATAGGTAAGTTTGGAAATGACAGTTCTTTCTAATGAATTCCAATTGTTTGTTAAACATTGAAATGCCAAGTACTGTAATTGATATAATTTGTTCTCATTTTCAGGGCAAAAGAATGAAAATCAATCAACGAAGAAGGTTGGTTTGTCCTCACTTCATAACTTTGCCTCTGCCCTTCAACCTTGTTTTCCTTACAATGACCTCCATAGGTCTATGAGATGCCTTTCATTTTTCTGCATGGTAGCTGTGAGAGATACCAGTACTTCACATAGACTTGTTGATGATTTTATCTGCAGAAATTTTTCTTACCAAACTAAGAGTCATAAGGACATAGAAATTACTGAATTTCGGGTAATAAAAAATTTAGTGTTGCTACTTTACATAATAAATTTCCTTGTCCTGCAGGATTCAGCGCCCAAACCCATGCGCCAGGTAACTTCTTGGTCCACCTTGAGCAACACAACGTCAGGAGGATCTCGAACACTGTCATCTGCAAGCAGCTTTGAAAAATTTAAACAACAAGCTAGAGACAAGGAAGAACGGGTATGCGAGACATTTAAACTGTTTAAACAAGAATGATTTTATTCTTAAACAATTTCATTTTATGTTCTTTGAAGGTTTCTCTTAGTAGTGTTGATTAAATGCTCAAGAATATTTTGCTAGTATGACCTGTGGTGAAGCTATGATTCAAACTGTATTTTTACAAGTTGTTGTCTAACCATTCAATAGGAGAAAAACTTTAGAGCTGAAGAGGAACAGAGACGTCAACAGAGAGAAAGAGTGGAGCTTGAAAAACTACGGCAAGCTGAGGAAAGAAAAAGGTAGCTTTTCTGTTTTTTTTTTTTTGTCAGTTAAAGATCCTGCTATGGAAACTTTTTTGACCTTCTTTAACTTCCTTTGTGCTCTTGGTCCAAATGTAATTGTACACTTTGTTTTATTTTCAGGGAAAAGGAAGAAGATGAAGCTTTAGAAAAAGCAAGGCTAAATAAGGAACAAGAACAAGCTAAAAATGCACAAAAGATGAAGATAGAACGCATGAGAGAGGCTGAACGACGAAGAAGGGAAGCTGTAAGTATCATCCCAAAAGTCGTGTCTTTGTCATAGATAGCTCTTAATAAGATGCATTAACCCAGCTCTTCCTTCCGATTCAAAGTGTAATAAGTGTCCATTTTTGCCTTCTCCATTCCACTGCTCTTAAATGATTACACCCACTGTTAAGAATTACTTTTCATGAATAAACAATTTTTAAAGTATTTTCTTCTCAGTTAGGTTTAGATGCTGCAAATTTCAGACTGGTTATATAAACTTCCCTAGGTCTCACTGCCACTTAATTTTTCTTTTTGTTGTTGATGTTGTTGTTTGGAGAAGAGGCATTGCCCCTAAACACAAATCTCATACATGCTTTTTGTTTGATATGAACAGCTGGCTGGAACAATTGACATGAATCAACAGAGTGACATAATGGCAGAATTTGAGGGAAGCCTGGGCTAATGTGGGCTGTATACAATGCATCTTGAAATTGTCCACAGTGACTGTTGTCTGGCAACCATGAAGAATTTATCAGTGCTATATCCTTTACTGGTCAAAGAAAACACAAGACAAGCTGCAAAGAAAGGTGCATTGTGCCTTCATTTGAAGTACTATGAAACCTGAGGATGCCAGCGGTTCAAGTAACGGCCAATAGTAGCATTTGAGAAGAATAATGAACTCAAAAAGTTGGAGCAAATGAACAATTTTTATCTTATTTATAGCTTTTATATGTTGCTTATGGCAATGATCATAACAAAAGACTTTTCTAACTCCAATTTAAATAATTATTAGTTCTGCTAAATAATTGATACAATAGTATCGGACAATTCAGTTGTGATTTACTGAAGGAAACAAATCACTTTCCCCACATTTTTGACTACATTGAGATTGGAAAGACTAACTAGTACTATTATCTGTACAAGAAGGACATGTCTCTCTAGAAAATACAGGAATGATGTAGTATTCTTTATCATAAAGATGCCTCTTTTTTGCAAGAGATAAGAATGTTGCATATTGACAGTAATTTAAGATATCTGGATAACATGTTAGTCAAAGCTATTTCTTGTTGCATTTGATGTTACATGAATGAAGAGAATTGCAGGTCTTGAATGTTAAATTTTTGTTGGAAAAAAAAATTGCGTTACCCTAGTGTGGAGAACCTTTCAATTTTGGTTGAGGTCAAGGTTTGGTTAGGTCTTGTCAGGACAGTTTAGCAAGTTCTTGTTGGGCTTAAGGATACTCCTTGTTTTCAAATTGTAGTGGGCACCGTTTCAATTTTTCCTTTTGATGAACAACTTTTCCTTTCTTTCTGTATATAATTCAGTATTGTTGAAATCTGGCAGAATTACATACTTAAAGAAAATCTCTCTATAATTGGAAGAAAAAATTGTCTCCTTCAATAGACACCATTTTTTATTAAACTGAAGTTGCAGGTTGAAAGACCAGTAAAAACAAATGAAAATTTTAAAAAAATCAGGAAATTCACATTGAAAACTAAGAAAAAAAAATTGAGAAAAATACAACACAAAGACAAAAAGATTAGAAAATTAATGAGTTCTCATTATTATCATTCTTTGAACCTAAATAAGCTTCTATTGGAATTGCAGTATGTGATGGCTGTAGTTGTGCTTGTACACTTATGCTTCACTAATGAGTAACAAATAAAAACTGAAAACCTCAGGAAAAAAAAACAAATAAAGAGAAAAAACAGGGAGATAGTTTGATGTAATGACTGACATTTACAAATACTATAAACACTCTTATTAATAGGCTATGCTGTTTGCCTAGAGCCTTGAGTTTCTAAAAGGCTCCTTCTTCTCTAATCTTTCCCCTGCATCCCTTCCCCTCAACAAAAATTATAGAATGAAAAACAGGGAAAGTGCTAATGCTTTAAAAATCCTGATATGATGTTGTTTGGTTTCCAACCAAGGAAATGCTTACTGTATACAATATTCAATTTAGTGGAGTGTTTGTTCAGAAAAAACAAAACTGTCCTCATTTTGGCTCTCGAAGAATCTTTAGTGAGCCCTCATCTCTTAAAGCTTCCTCTGAAGCCATGAAAAATTAATAATTTTCTGAGGGCCTTGAAATGTTAACAGTATCAATGAAGTCCAAACTAGTCAACCACCCTGAAAGAAAAGTGTGAACATGGAAATTTGTAGGTACTCTAGGTACGTGCAACAAGGACTGTCTAACAGACAGAGGGGACATGAATGGGAAGGTACTGGTAGTAGGTTTTAAGAAGAAACCCTGAAAAGAAAAATCCATGGATGTATTGCATATACCATACTGATTAAAGCAGATTCTTGATTTAACATCTTACCCAAAAAAGTGACTTAAACTTGTAGGTTGTGAAGCCCTTACCTGAGTTCGAATTCCTGCAATCTGCTCAAAGTTGAACAAGTTCGACACCTTTAATGATTCAAACCTGGTAACAAACTTGATTACAACAACAGATCAGATAGGGGAGCATTGTTCAAAAGTCCAAAGTATTGCTGCAAAAGTCAATCAAAAACAGCTGGAAATATTTGGAAAACTCGTTAGATGCAGCAGGTCCCAACAAATGTGTAGATCAACAAAATTGGGAAGGATTGAAATGAACTGAATGTTGGAATGACCCTTTTAATGTAAATATCAGTTTTTACTGAAGCAAAATTCAAAATGCTCAGAAGTTTCCTAATGCCCAAAATGTTCCTCATTAGGTGTCAGTGATTCTGCTCATACTCTGCCAATTTACAACTTAGTTCCTAATAGTCTAAATACAATCACCAATAATAATTCACAGATTAACTTGAGATGCCATTAATCTAGCCTCTCCCACCGGCTCTTATCCCATTTCTGTAATGAGTGAAATTACAATGATTTTGTAGGTTAAAACAAGAACAGTCTTGGAAACCAATAAATCAGAAAAAACACTTTCATTTGCCTTACTTATCCCTGATACAGAGACAAGAACAATTGTTCACATTACATTATGCAAAATTTTGTTCCATGTTGATGTTACTTAATATGGGAAAGCTGTTACTTTATGCTCAATGGTGAAATATATTAAAATTTGTCAATCGGTATATGGTATATGCAATATATACAGTATAAACTTTATGTACAGGAGAATTTGCAACTTGTAATTACTAAAATTTAAGCAGCTGAAACATTCATAATCATTTGAATAACAATGAACAGATCAGATAATTGTTGTTAAAGCCGTACTCCTAAAAATGGGAAACAAGTAGTTCAGAGTTGCCCTTACCCTTATTTCAAAATCAAATGTCTAAATATTCAAATGATTGAATATCTTATTTCTGAAAGTTCCCTACTTTGCCCAAAGTATCACTTTAAATATTTCATAATATTTTATGTACAACAGCTTTCATCACTGAAATTCAAAAGTTAACAAACTAAAATGCTAGTGATCAAAGTCACCAATTTCTTCAATTCCTTCACTTTCAGTCACCAAAGCCCGCTCCAGAATAACTTGGCCCTCCTACAGTCATTGCACAACAGAATATAGAAAAATTAAGATCAGTTTCATTTGTTATGCATTTCCATGATAACATCAAAAGAATTTCCTAATTTTGCATGAAGGAGCCCCCACACTTCTAAGCTTTACAACTGAAAAAGAATGTAAGATAAACTAAATGGAGAATAAATGGTTAAGTAAGGGGTAGGGCCCATGCCCCGATTATGGAGCAAAAACTTTGGGAAAGTAGAGACTGAGAAGAGACCCAGACGAGGCAGGGTGTGTCTCATGTTAGATGTGTCTCAGCCCAGTTCATTCTGGCCATGCCAAACCATGCATTTGCTTTCCCTCCATGGTCGTACAACTGTTAAGAAAACACTGGGCACTGAACTGGTTGAACCTGTTAAGTAAAGGGTAGGTTGGGTAGGGAATGATCGAATCTTGAAGTCTAATAACTTTAGATTTAGTAACATTAATTGTACCTTGTATTGTTGGCTCTCCTCTGTTGCATATTCCTGAGATGATAAACATGAGTTAAAATAGATAACAACAACAACTTCCTGAATCTACTGGTTTGACTTAAGCTACAGTGACTGAGTATCTGAATTGATTATTGCAATAAAAGTGTCCTACACACTCACATGTTCATGTTGCAGACCAGTATTACATTTAATCAGTTAATCAATTTATTTCCCAAAGATATTTGAAACTATCCTGTAGGCAAATGATTTTCTCATTCTAAAAAGCCCTTTAGTTTTGTTTCCCAAAGATGTGATGATAGAAAAAGACGAAAACAGAAAAAAACATGGAGTGCTCCCGAACACTTACATACATCCAGCCAAGTTTTGAATCGCAGTTCTTACAGAAGACATCTCTGACCATGTGCCTTCCAGTAAGCTGCAGAAAGAATTTGAACTAAAGTAAACTTACAGCAAATACAAACTGAAATTTCAAATTAAGTATACATTGCTACAGATGCAAGCTATAAGCTTCAGATTGCAAAGAAACGATTCCACAGGCAAAGCTAGGAGGTTTTTAAGTTGTATGTGACTGGAATTTAGGCAATGGCTTGTTGTTCTATTGTCATAAATTGTTATTTTTCCTAGTTAAACAAGGTGGCCCTTATAACCTATGGTTCCACTTATATAACTTGCCTCCTTAATACAGAAGCTCCTTGATGGAAAACCTTGACCCTGCACCCTTGGAATCAATTTTAACACTTTAACTTCCAATAGTTATTAAAATGTAACTTCCCCCTATAACATCCATACATTTTCCAGCAAACACATTAATAATAATAAACTCACTGGGTCGAATTTGTTGACTTGATTTAATACTGAATTCTTATAACTAATTTACAAGGAAATGTGTAGCACCTAGAGGGGAGAATTAACTATCAGATCATGGGAGCTTAAGAGTTAATTAAACCAGTAATATATACCACCATAAAGTAATAACATACCATTACTCTATCCTGAACATTGCTGAATGTTAAATTAACCCTGTAAGACAGAGGAAATCTGTTTAGCTTTGGCTTTTTCTCAGTCATAGACAGTTGCAAAATTTATATTCATTCACTATCCAATAAAAGACTTGAACAAAAATGAGTCAACAGTAAGTTAAAAAACACTCAGCTATAACAGTAATAAATAGTAATATTTTTTACCATTCAATACATTAAAGTTCACATGGCAACCAGGTGGACAATCAGACATGGTTTGATGCTACTCTGGTTTACAGATTTAATGAATGTAACCAAAGAAGTTTTAATTCATAGACCCAACATTTTGATACTTCTGTCTAATGCCTTGATCAGGGGTGATCTAAATGCTGCAACAAGAGGTCCTTTTATGTGATCTCTAATCAGCTGCCTTTTTTTTTTTATTTTTTTTTTTTTAAAGGCAGCTAATTAGTGATTGTCTAAAAGGACCTCTTGTTGTAGCATTTAGATCACCCCTAATGAAGGCACTAGACAGGAGTGTTAAAATGTTGGGTCTGTGAATTGTAACTTCTTTGGTTACATTCATTAAATCTGTAAACCAGAGTAGCATCAAACTATGTCTGATTGTCAACATTCATTATACTTTTAATAGTAAAAATGATATAAGGATTGATTAAACGGATAATTATTTTTTAAATCGATGTAATAATATTGTAACATGATGATGTCCAATTGATACTACTTGCTTTGGACTTAAATTTCAACAATGTCGACGAAGAAGATGATAATGGAAAAAAACAGTAATGATAAAAAAAAAGAAAAAAAACGACACTCACACTTTCTTGAACAAAAACGCCCTTCCAGTAGCTCCATTGAATCTCTGATTAGAGGGTTAATGATTCAAACGGAAACAAAAACAAATTAACGTTAAATAATCTGCGAAGGGAATGCAGGACTGTGGTTTTAATCGGAAATATTATTTCCAGTCAGAATTATCTGACGAAATTGACACTTTAACAGCTGAAAATAGCATAGAGTAAATTTTCAATTTCAATCATTCCGAAACCCACAAAATGTCCAAAGTCGAAGCAAGATTGATAGTAACTTGGGAAAAATCATCGTGAAGACTAGGTGAAAAGGAATTATCAACAGCACTTTGGTATCGTTCACAAGGTAACTGATTGTTGGGGAAAGTTCACATTTAAATGATACTGAATTTTCGATCTGACGCAAAAAGCGAGATCAGACGTGGGTAATTTGCGCAGTGGATCTCCAAAATAAAAATTCAAGAATGACATGTTAAAACGAAGTATGCCAGTCTTCCTCCAATTTCTATTCGATTTGTGTAAAAATCAACCCAAGGTGAAAGCCAAGAAGCCAGTATTTATTAGTCGTGTACGTACCATTGATGTTAACTCCGATCTGTTCGTCAAAGCTGTATCGCAGTTCGCACAAGAATACAAAGTGATCCCGCCGGGGTGATTGAGAAATATACGACCCATGTTTTTGTGTATTCTTTCTGAGAGTAGGTCTTAGAATCGAACGATATATAGACGCAAACACCCGGCCAAGGCTACAGAAGAAGTCCTTTGACTACGAACCTTGCTCTGCTTTGTTATGGTTCGCAATTCACGTGACATTAAAGAGCTGGTGGGTTTAAGCTTATATCCCGAACGCTGATTGGTCTGCGATTGTTTTTGTCACTTGGACTGAACTTCCGGTTCTTCCGGTGCACATTTTGTTTCCGGTTGCATCCAAGTGCGTTCGTCTTCGAGGAACTTCCAAAGGCTGATGAATATTTGCAGTGCGCCATCATCACAGTTTTATAATAATGATAAGTGGTAAATGTATTTTTCCAATTCAATCCGCTTGGCTTAGATTATGGTATTTTTGTTACAAACCATGGCATGTGAGATTAAATAGCTAAGTCAAAAAGAAAATTCCTTATACATTCTCTTTTTGTACAAAATAGACAATGATTTCCTCCTGTTTCCTTGTACTAGTTGAGAGGAAATATCTCTAGGCCAAGCATTGTTATGGTTTTCTTCTTCCAGTTTTTTTGTGTTGTCAGTCTGAGAGAACAAATCAGTAACAACAGAAACAAATTCCATAAATCCATTTTATTTCAATGTATTTGTTAATACATCTCTTTAATAAGTACACCTACAAAAGGCCATCTTGACACATAAAAAATTGCTGCGAATAATTTTATGAGATAAACTGATGCCAGTGAAAGATCTGAGAGAATGGCAAGATTCAGACTCAGTTGTACCCTTGCAATGTGCAAAAGATTTATCAAAATTTTCATTAAACATGCATATCAAATTTGATGGTCATGAGGAGATAATCATCAGAGACTCAAAAGGTATCTCTAAGGGAATGTCCACAAAGCATCACACTTTTAGTTTCTGGTTGTTCAATCCCTACATTTTTGCAAAAGTTTTGAATGGTAAATTATTCCATAAATAGTTTTAAGTCAATCAATGGTGATCACCTTGCACTTAATCCTAAGCAATAGGCACAACCCCTATAATTAGACATGACCAGTGCTGGAAAAAAACTATTGTTTTTAAGAGGTAAAGTTGAAATTTTGGTAAAAGTGGTTCTGTCAAAATGCTTTACTGACAAGTGTTGAACTGAAAAATTCAGGCTGGACACAACAGCTCTTCCACAATATTCAGTAATGAGACATTCAAAAACTTGAATTCATCATACTATTTAACCATTTGAGTAGACATTGGGGTCATTGCAATTTCCAGCACTAGCTGATTTATAATTATCAATAGTCATTTGAAGAATGATCAGACACTGATCACTCTTGTTTTAATTAAGGTGAACCACAAATGTAAAAGGCTTGTCTTACAGTGCTGTTCAACACAAATAAAATGTGTGAGAATTAATGCAAAGAGACAGCCTAACATAAGTATTAGGTAAATCTCACATGAAGAAGCCTAAAAATTACTGACTTCTTTATTAAATACTTTGAACACTTTGAATTGCATTTAATTAGCAATGCTAAATTATGATTCATAGTTTAAATAGAGATTAGAACTTAGTATGAATAAAGCTTCTCTTGTAACCTAGTTTTTTTTACTTTGCTCTGTACAAACTATACATACAAATGCTTATTAAACCCGGCAGCAATGTTATCTAAGATATTTACAATCTTTTTAATGGCACACATTATGTTACAATTGTGTTGAAGAGTGGGAAGGGGCAGTGTCCAGTTAATTAAGATACCAACAACAGAAGCTCAATAATGCAAAATTGATTTTAGAGTTCAAAGAACAAAATTATTCATCTTTGAAGTATCACTGAAGTGTAATAAAATGAAAGTATATTTTGTTTGGTTTTATTTTTCATGATACAATCAATTCAAATCATATGACAACCAAACAATCACAGCAAGGGCGTCATCATATGTTGTGGTTCACATTGGAAGTGACTGTATCATGAGATTCAAGGAAACAGTTCATCATTGTTGTACTTCACCATTTTGAATAATCACAGTTAGCTACTGTATCTAATCAGTATGAAAAACTACAACTTTTTCTATGATATAAAATCAAACTGTATAACAATCTGACGTTACTTTTTCTCAAGAAATTTGTCTATTTACTACCTTAGCTTCACAAATGCCCATAATGATTCTCACCCTTTAATTGTTTTTTAAACATAACAGAATGCAACTAGTCACCAATTTCTTCAATTCCTTCACTCTCAGTCACCAGTGCTCGCTCCAGAATAACTTGACCTTCCTGAAAGTACAAAATGTTCCTCTTTCAACATGTATTACTAAGTTATGCATCTACAACATTTTAACCAAGTATCCATGATCATGTAAAAGTGAATATGAAACTAAAACTAACCTTGTACTGCTGGCTCTCTTCTGTTGCATATTCCTGAAATCATAGAGAGAATGGTATAAAAGATACATATGCAGTTAAGTACACAGTAGTTGTTTGAAAACAATTTAAAAGTATATAATATCCTTCCAGATACCTAGTAGTGCATTCATTTGCTCACTCCTTTCTGATTTTTTTCATAGTTACATAGATATCAGCTGAACAACATTTGTAAACAGACATAAAGCTAACGGTGACTGTCACTTACATACATCCACCCCAGTTTTGTATCACAGTTCTTGCAAAAAACATCTCGGACCATGTGCCTTCCAGTAAGCTATAAAAACAAACATGTAAAGGTTCAGTCAGAGTTCGAGTCAAATCATGGTTAAAAAAGTTAATAGATTGGGCTTTTGATCAGCCTTTAGGGATCAGAATAAACTACTACTACTAAGGCCTGTAACTCCGTGTGGAGCATAGGCCATCGACGACCCCTTGCCATCGCACTCTGTTCTGGGCTAATCTACCTGCTCCTGTCCAGTTTGTACCTTGCTGCTTGAGGTATCAGAATACACTAACAGAAAAATCTGAATTTGCCTACCATTACTCTGTCTTGAACTTCACTGTAGGACAAATTCACCCTAGGATCATATAAGTAATCTGAAATTAGTGCTGTTGACTCAAAAGGCCAGAGGTTCCTGTTATATTTGGAGTGAATGTAAGCAGACTTTTGGGGACAAGACTGTTGGGTTGCCATTTTTTTTAGGTATCCTCCTGAGTCAGTAACCTTAAATTTGGGTAACCATTACCACAAGGTATGGATAGACATTAGGTTACAATAAATTATATTTCCTGTCACTGATCTATCAACATGGAGCTTAAGGAAAAATAGTTTCTCTGTAAGGTCTTTGCCTTGATACAGGGCTAAACTGATAATTGTTTAAGTATTCAAAAAGTGTTTATCTGAATTATGGTATCATTAATTTATAAACAAAAGGACAATCAAGAACACTTACACTTTCTTGAAGAGGAATGCTCTTCCAGTAGCCCCTGTAAATTTCTATTGGTATTTACAAGACAATGAAACAAATTAAGTGTTTTTTCAATCAATTAAAACTCTGAAGTAAAACAATCAAGGCAAGAGTGATTCTCTTCCAGAGAAATTGCTGGAAGATTATGTGTCAACAAAAGTAACTAATTTCTATCTGCGGAATGACATTTCATTCTGTACTTATGGAGAACAATTTTGAATACAGTAGACTGTCTGTATGGGACTACTTAGCTAGTCCTAAAACTAATATAGTAAATAAAACACAAATGAAAATTCCAATGGTATTCAGTTGTTTAATGACTAGATCATGAGCTCCAGATTTTGACTACCTGATAATTCATGAAAGCAACATCTGAGGGAGGGAATAATCTTTTGTTTTTATAAGCAGTTCAAAACTGGCTGGCTCATGTTTGTATTTTATTTTGTTTACAACCACACACAGTTAGACTACTCGCTGTAATGATGACCTATCATGGAATAAAAAGCGAATAGCGTAGCTAGTAGTATTTAATGCAGCATTGAAAAAAATAAGAGATAAGAGAAATCTGTAATTGGAGAGAAGTGAGTGGCTTCTGAATAAATTGCTACTTGCTTGCAAACCGTTTCAAATTTTATGGTTATTATTAACATCAAAATGTAAAAGGAAAAATGGACGACATATCTTTAAGGGCAATTTTTTAAAAATTGTTATTAAATAGCCCCGCTAATCTTGAGTTATACATTATTAATTCATCTCAGCAGTTGATATAAATGAAGAAATAAAAGCAAAAAGGGAACAAAACAGTGACTTTCAAATGTTCTGTTATCCGAAACACAAACATGAGTGTTAGCTAGGTTGATAATAGTTCCACTGAGCGCACCAGGTTCAATGCGGAAGGTTCAATTCTTTCCAAAACTTTTCATTGCGTGCAAACCAGCCACCAATGCTTACGCAACAGCCAATGAAATGCCACTATTCCTCATAAGAGAGTACACAAAGCCAATATAATACAAATAAATTTCATTACAATGTTGAAAGCGAATTTCTTAATTCCTCGAGCGACAAGTATTGAACGGAAAAGTAAAGCATCACGTAAAGAAGGTACTCTATTGTACCTCAAATCTAGTTTGTTACTCAACAGCGATAGTCCTTGGAGAAAGATATTCTCCTTGTGAAACTTACAAGATGATAAATCGAAAACATCAATCTTAATGTTTATTTTTTTCCTGTCACTATTCGTAGCTACGCTTACCATAGATGTTAGTTGAGATCGATTCGTCAAAGCAGTGTCGCAGTTCGCGCAAGAATAAAGTCTAGCTCCTCCAGGATGAGCAAGAAATATTCGACCCATGCTTTTGAGCTCTTTATGGTAGCAGTACAGACTATAATCTTCAGGAATAAGCAGTGTTTACAAAAACTAAACAGCGGTCCAACTCTTCTGCCGCGAACTATTCTCGCACGTTTTTGTTTTGGTCTACAAGGCACGTGACGACAATGTGCCAACATTATTGGCCAAAACTAGAGGATGATGTCACTCTGCAGCTCAAATTAAAACCCCGCTCCCACCCGGCCGTTCCGAACACAAAAGTCTTCGTATCGAGAACCCAGGAAATACTAGTATTTCCGCCGGCGTAGAGACGTTGGGACATTCTGCGGCCTTTTCAGACAATGTTACACTGAAAATCCATATATATAGGGAACAAATAGAAATTGGAAACGGTTTATAAAGTGATACTTAGGGGGAGGGGAGTGGGGTAGAAATATTTGCGACATCGGAAGTGACGTAGAAGGAAAACAAAGAATGTAAAACAAGAGATCCTAGGAACAGAATAGCGACATAATATAAAGAAACTTTTTAAGTTCTTACACCGAGAAGAACCCCAGCTTTCAGGATGCGTTCTTGCTTTTTCTTTCGTTACCAAGCCCCCGAAGGTGTCTCCCTATCTCAGTCGATTTTTTTTCCTGACTTCGTCCGGCAAGCGCATTAGTTCATCAAACATTGTATAACTGTACGCTAATACCACAAACATGATCACAGCCTCCAAACTGTAGCCTTTTCAGTTGCAATCTTCTGGTCTGTTTGTTGGTTATAGTATCCAAGGAGAATTTGAGGGGGCTCGAAATGAACATCAGCGATATAAAATATTACCTGTCCCGACTATTCATCAGTGCTTATTTCTTTGTTCTAAGTATTAAAAAATTGCACCAAGAACACACTGACCAACGAAGGTATGTCTTACTTGGATTTCAACCTGTATGACTAGAAAAATGACTATGAAAATAAAACAAAATGGAAAAAGAGAATCAGGCTCCCTAAGAAGACAAAATTACACAGGTAAGAAGTAAGGAAAATATTCCAATACGTTACGTGTTTCTCCCTACATTTCTTTCGTGCTCCAGCCGCTTTCTGCGTGCTTTACAACAGAACAGAGCACAGATGAGGGTTCTTTTATTTGCCAGGTAATAAGTCTCAATTAACTGAACGTGTCTTTATGAGCTCGCAATGGCACTATCCAGGCGCCAATTAATGAATGAAAGCGCGTGGGGCGGACACCTGCAAGTGGACTTTTTTGTTTGTTTGTTTTTCTCCGCTTGCTAAAGTCTCACCCCTCGCGTTTTCTTATTAACGCTCGCCTCGTACTTTCCTCTGTCGCCTTAAAAACACAAAATATTGGCGCCTGTTCCACATGTTAATGCGCTGTCTTAGAAAAGGCAACTAAGTGATTGGATTTATCTTAAACTGGTCCTTGGTTCGGGCGGTAAATTGCTCTTTCTAGGGTTGACTAAGAACTTTGAACAACCTTTCAAATAGGACAGATGGTAAATAGTGAACTCGGCAAAGTGATAGAGGAAATATTCACACGTCCTGTCTCTGTCTTATTCTGGTCACACTTATGACACTTTCGATATTCGTTTACTTAGGCTGTATGCAGGACACATGTCACTCGTGGACCTTGTAATGATGTAGCTTATTCTATTTTCTCTGTGGCTCAGTGGTAGAACATCAGAGCGCGAAATCTGCAGGTTTGACGTTGAATTCCCCATGGGAGCTAAGATGCTTTTATTTGTCCTACGCTCCCCCGCAACCTTTCAAATATATTTTATCATTATTTTCTGTACCTATTATTATAATTATTAACTATTAGAACTACTGCAGCTCGATGCGCTGTGCGGCTGGTCACTTAGACGATAAAATTAAGTAACTAATAAGTTCCCATGTTGTTCTCCTAGGGTGATAGAATGACAGCCTATTCAATTTCTTTTGAGTACTTTTCATCTTGCTTTCCTTCATGGGAAAATAACAATGGTTTCATTTCTTCTGCGTTTTTTCTTTCCCTTGTGAATACTACAGTGAGTAATTATCATCTTTGCGTTCTTTTTGTTAAGCTCCCTTCGTTAAAGGAATTATTTATTCAAACAATTATTCGTTTATTTACGCAATTTCAAAATGAGGCCTTAAATATTTCTTTATTCATAACGGAAATCTACTGCTTTCAATTATATCAGTCTTTCAAATTAAGAGTAATTTCCTGATCACATAGTAATTCCTAAAATTTAGTAGCTGTGAATTTGTTCATCTTGTCACATGCCAATCCGTCACTGACAATGCTCTTCAATTTAGTTTGTTTTTTAATTAGCTGGATGAGCGTGCACAGAACTCCGCGCCAAATCTGTGACGTAGCAGCCGATTATTGGCTGCAGTTGTTTATCCATATTTATGAGAAGTAGTATAATTTTCAGCAAACCACGCTGTCCGTCGTGGAGTAAAGATGTGCTGTACGTTGTGCTAAACATAACGTTCCACCCTGAAAGGAAGAAGACACTGGACCTGTAAAAAAGAAACGAAACCACTCTTATGTCATTAAATAGCAGGTAAGCATTGTCTTTGGGAAATATCGCTTTAAACTCCTTCAGAGTTCTAAAAGAGTCGTATTATCTCAGTTCAACGACGTAGCATAAATCCGTTGCTCGGCCTAAACGGCTATTCAACTCGAAGTTAGACTGAATTAGGGTATCGGCTTTGAGAAAAGCAGGACTTTTGGTTGTAAAATATTTTCAGCGAAGCGCTAAAATTAAAATGTTTTGCTCGCTACATCCATTGGGGACTTCATTTTGTATTAGAATGCAGCCACGAGGAGGTCTTCAGTGGTCTTTGCTTCATTGTAATTAAAATTTAAAAATTTCTCATGCTCTCCCTTTTTCTATAGTTTTGACAAAGAGCGAAAGATTTATACAGAGTTTTCATTTTTCAGTTTTCTTCCGACTCATGGAAAGTAAACATTCCCTAATCAAATTCATATTTTCTACTTTCAGGAGGAACACTGTTATAGAAGAAATTTTCTGGTCAAGAGAAGACATTCCAATCACTGACGTCTTAGTGGATACTTTGAAGATAAGAACTTAAAAATTATTCAGAAATACCAGAAAAAATGGTGACCCCTCAGATGTCTAATTGTTATACGAAGTCTTCGTTCTCTCGCTAGTTGTAATGAAACGGAAAAAAGTGATTACATGGTAAGTGATAGTCCTCAATTAGCCACCATTTTTAGAATAGTTTCTTACGTTACAGATTGTTATGCAGACTCTGAGCGATCATTTTATTTATTTGAACAACTATCTATAATTTAGTGTAATTTAACTCAGATAATGTCGTTGCATCGTGCATCGAAATAAAGATCGAAGCAATTGGAAACTGAAATCTTGACTACGGAATGTTGACTCTTAAATTATAGATTTCGAAGCTCTGATCGCTCATTTTTTCGGTTTGTGTAGCAATTAGTATCACAGTTATATCTTGGTTAATGTTACACAAAGGTGATATTAAGGTGGCACTGTAACAGAATACTTCAGCCGAACAAAAACCAAATGAAATCTCAAAGTGAACACTTTTGACGACTTTGACTAATTTTTCGTATTTTGTAATGTCTTCAAAGATTGACTTTGAAAAGTTAGTTTACAAACTTACAGAAGAGTCCTCACAACAAATGAATATAATCATCGACACCACACAAACGACTTAAAAAAAAAAACTTACTAAAAAAAAAAGACCGACACAGTCACCAACAGACCAAACAGGACAAACTAACCTGAACAACTGGTCAAAACCGACCAATCAACGGATGATGGCCATTTGAGTCTGGCAGCCACTTAACTGCAAAACTAACTATTCAGTTTAACAAACCAAAGTTGTGATGTTCGTTTTATGAAAAATTGTTCACTCGACTCTGATTAATTCTACTAACGCTAGTTAGTAGTTTTGACAAAACGCCATTTCGTACTTCGCGATTGACAACTGAATGATACAACGAGAAAAAGTTGGCCAAAGACACGTCAATTGAATCGAAAATTTATTCTCGGAATGAATTTTGTTTAACAAACAGTAACAGTATCAATTCACTAATTTCCAATAGAATTATTGGTACATTCGGCGAACAATAGCAAATAAACGGCGAACATTTCGAATTGAGTACGAAAATCTACGATTTCCGAAATGGTCGCCATGTTGTGACGTCATGTGGTTGTCAAATTTGATAACCATCCCGACCCTGTCAAAATGGAAATTTAGGACATTTTAATTCAAAAAAAGAATTTTTTTTCATACACGAAGCACGAGTCTATTGCAGTGCCATCTTATATCATATCCTTTACTTTGTGCTATTAACTGGGTTCGGTTTGCCTTTGGAAGGAATGCATGCTTTAAAACTCTTATGCCTGGTCAAGAGCTGTTTCTTTACTTTTTCATAAACTAGTTTTAATTGACTCCTTTTTACGACGAAGAGATAGAATTTCGTATTTCGGGAAGATTGGATAGAAATTAAGATAGTAAATTGTTTCACAAATCATTGACATATAATTTATACGAAAATCAACGTGAACATATACAAGCCAATCTTTTGACCAGTAAACAGATCTATTGGCGAAGATTTGCTTTGAAATCAGAAACGCAAATCAAACAAAATTTGAGAATTTGAAGAATTTGATAGTTTACCAAATCAAAATGGTTGTCGTGTTTTCTTGTTGAATACTTTCAGATATTGATGACGAGATTCATGGAAATTTAAGAAATATTTGCTTATTTAAAATTCACATTTATACCCCAAGCACGTTGATTTCACGAAACCTACGCGCAAAGCAAAAATACAAATTAGCTATATTCAGTTTAAAGTTTATAGAAAATAAATTAAATTGTGTTTTCGCTTCGAAAAGTTATAATTTTTTTTTTAATTCCTTATTGCGATGGTTATAGTTTTTGTCATTTATATAAAATTTTTTATCTTTTACGAAATTTCTAAGTAGTCCATAGAACTTTTAAATTAAGTCGTATTCGAAAAAGGTAACTTGTCACCCTTT